TGAAACCCTTAGCAACAAGGAGGGCTCACTCAAAGGCCAAAAATGTACTCCAGCAAGTTCAATTATTACTTGAGACGTTGTAACTATCAATTGTCTGCCCCTACAACAGGTTGTGAATTCTACTATTGTCAATTATGATGCGTGATGTTCCATCACCTCTTTCAAATTCTAGTCAAACATTTACATGTTTGTATAAAGTCTAATCAGGTTCCTTAGAGTCGAAAATAAGCTTGCTGAACCTTATAGTTTCCTCTGAGTTGCGGGATTAAACCTTGCCTTGCTCTTTCTTATTGATTTTTACCGCTTTACAGAAAAGGTTTATAGCCTAAAGAACCTGAGTGTCAATGGTGTGGCATGCGTACTTGATCGACGGCATGACCCTTTCTGTTTCTGCGCTGGCATATTGGAGTTGTCTCCCTTCCTTTTCACAACTTATTTATTAAATAAAACGTTTTAGATGTAATTCTGAAGGTTTTTATGTCTTTAAAATTCGTTCGAGTTTTTTCTGCTTATGGTAATTTATTTCTTTTTATTTTATATCTATATGTTGATATATTAGATTTTCTAATGTGTGATGAGCTGTCACCTTTTTCAAGTTCAAGTTCAAGTTCCAATCAACCAGTTACATGATTATGAAAGCTTACCACAGCACATTTGTTAAGTACATCATTTTAGATGCAGTCTTGTGGATTTTAATATTTTTAAAGTTTTTCTATTTCTATCTGACATGTCCACACTTGGATTGTGTAAAACTTATGGTCAGCTTCTCATTAAATGTACGAATATCTCAATCATCTCCATGGAAAAGAATAACTCAGCTCTAATATATTAAATTTCATATAATTTGTCAAGCAGTAGTATGCTTCAGCAGTAGTTATGGTTTGCTTCGGGGTATATGATTATGGATGGACTTCTTTTTTCTTTTCTTTTTTCGTTTTTTTAAGTTCACCAGATATTGTGGTTAAGTGTTGACTCTAATGCCTCTAATTTGCCTAGTATGTGGACCTGTTGAAGGCCACTCCTCAACATAGAACTAACTAATAAATGATATTGAGTGACATCTAGTGAACTGCTCAGCCATTATTTTTTGTGAAATATTGCCAACTTTTATGTCAAAGGAAATTGATTTTTTTCTAACCACAAGTAGAGTTTTTAGAAGTTCGTTAGGCTTAATTGTGAATTTGATGTAATTGCCTGTACCTAGGTCTGACGGAAGAGAGATGATCGTGGATAACAAATTTCTCAAAGCTCACAATCCCCTCCTGGTAAACCTCTTTTCTCTCTTGAAGTTGTGACTTCCTTCTTCCTCTTCCACATTGTTGCAACTTCGGAATTTTGTCACATACTATTTTTGATATTATGCATATTTTTCTTATTATGTCTCCAATCATGGCAGTTGATCAATTATTATGAGCAGCATCTTCGGTATAGTCCAACATAATGAGTAGACAGCCATAGATGGAGAGTGGATGTAGCTGGATCAGCCTAATTTTCTCCATATGGTGGTGTAATTTTGTAGGAGACTGTCATGCAGGCTAACCAATGCAAACTTTCTTAGGATGGGTGGTAAATAGTGCAATGTTGACTTGTATATTAGTTGGTTGTTCATTTTTCTTGTTTTCTTGTGGTTAGCTTTTGAATACTTATAAATCTAATTACTTCGTAATGGATTTGGTTCTGATATTAACATGGGATATCGTATACCTATGGGTACACACTCTTTGATGGTGGTACATCGTGTGAGTGCATGTATGGGTCTATGCAAGCATCTTTATTCTGTCCTTTATTACCTATATATCCCATGGTGGTTCTCAATTATTGAGCTGTCAATTTTCTTGAAAATTAATTGATTTCTATTTCAAATGTCCTTAAGAGTTTATTGTGTGGCGGGACTCTTGTGCATTGCACTGCGCTTATAAGATGGCCAATTCTTTTAACAAGTCTAGTTCTCAGTTGTCTGATCATGTTAAAAGTTTTGTGAAACGATGTTATTTTCTTACTAACATTTGCAAACTTGTCGTATTTCTTACCTCTTTTTATTGTTCTTATTGTTCCCAGGTAATGCTTCTATGTATAGAGTCTCACTATCACTTTTTCTTTTTCGAATGTCAAGTTTTTTTTCTTTTTGTGTTTGTAAACTCAGTGGAAAGTGCAGTTAATTCATTTCATTGGCTGTGGCAAATTTGCTCTTTTCTATTGATCGGCTTGATATAACTATTTCTTTTATTTATTTATTTATTGAAAATGGCCCTTATCTTGCTTAGTGACAAGTGATCCAATAGGTCTAAGCTATTTCTTGGAAGTACCATAGATTTTACCTAGAAGACAAACTTTCACTTTCTTAATATTGTTGTGTAATTATTTCTTAATATTGTTGTGTGTAATTACTTGCCCATAATTTAGTAGTCTTCTTGTCATTGTAAATAGCACTTTCACCTTGAAGGCATCGAAAGATTCGAAACCAAGTTGGTATCATTTTTGAAATTTCCAAATGATACAAACGTTTCGTTCTTATATATAAACAGGTCAATTTATATTCTCTCTGTTGAGTTTATCTTCTTGTTTTTTTTGTTAACTGAAGAATAGATGATATGTATTTAGGTGAAGGAGGTTGCTATGTATGGACCTATCTCATTTACAGAGAAGTATCAGATTGCCTTAGCACTGTCATCTACACTAAACAGGCACTTTCTGTTGCAATTTTTTCTCAACTCGTGTGGCTTCTGTTCTTGCAACCACATATGGGGAGCAGAGGGCCATCACCTCTGGTTCCTTCTCTAATGTTGGGGGCTCTTAGTCTGGTTATCTTTGGCGGTACCAGACAGTACTTAGTGGAATGGGTGCTGCCGCTGATGTTTCAGTCAGGATTGGAAGAAGCTACTGGCGTGGCTTCTTTCATGACGTTGCTTCTTCCCATCTCAATGCTACTGATGATTCACTTGCTCACCAAATTCTTCCCTGGGCGAAACGTTTCTTCTGCTGTAAATCAGCAAAGCAGTAGCTCTGCTTATGATGCTGAGGGGTTTGGGCTAGGATCTTTGCTTCTAGTTGTGCTTTTCTTTGTCCTGTACAATCTTTGGTGAGATTCTACTGCTGCTGCAACTATATGCATGTGGTGCAGTTGTGTTTAAAGAAATTTTTTAATAAAACACGAGTTAATGCAGAGTTGCTGTTAAACTAATTGATCCAAAACGATGTTGTTTTGTTAAATAGAACGACATCGTTATGCAGTAGAGGAGCTGGACCCGAGACAACTGATTGGTTTGTATACCTCTCTTTTATAACTATTTTGTATTCCTCTAGGATCAAGGTCTTTGTTTAGGACCGTTCTGCGGGAAGCTCATTCAGTTCTGATAATAACCCATCCACGGATTGCAATCGGAACTCCTGGTGGTGGTATAACGGAATAACACTGGACTTGTCGAGGTGGCCTCCAGCTTCGTCACTTTCTTGTCTCGTACCCTCTAATATCCAATCTGAACTGCACTTCTGTTTTGTCCTGAGTCACTATGTTTCCCTCCTGGAACCCAAGTACGGTGACTGGAATTACAGACCCACCCCATTATGTCGACACCAACCTCCATGGAGAGTGACATTGGGGTGGTGCAGAAGTGGGTTTTGGACAGTTGTAGTACTTGGAGAGGAAAGATTTTGTTTATCTCTTTTGATCTCAAAGTTGTTACCGTTCCATTACCTGTTATCCTAATGTCCTATATGATTGCGGGGTTGTTTGAAAATCTTGACACATTTCCTAAAGCCACGCCCCTACTGTTGGTGCCCTTTGATCCCATTCCGCTCGGGGTTTATTCCCTTCGCTCGCAGCCCACTTGAACAATCAACCGATAGATTTCTCATAGAATGAAGATCTAACTTGACTCTAAGGACAAGGCAACTCAAAATGGGTGTTAGGTTTGAGTTTGGAGGGTTTGGGGGTGGAGAGAGGGAGAAGGAAGGAGGAAGATTTGGAGGAGTGTAGAGAGGTATAGGTGAGAGATTTTAGGTGTAGTATGGCTTGAGTGGGGTGAGGAAGGGAGTGGGTTTGTAGAGGTGTGTTTTGGACGCAACAATGGAGGAAATTGAGGCAATGGAGTCATGGCTGTGTGATTGGAACTGTGAGAGAGAGAGAGAGAGAGAGAGAGAGAGAGAGAGAGAGAGAGAGAGAGAGGAGTAGGAAGGGATTAGTTGGTGACATCATGTCAACATGGTCACATGACATCATCGTTATATTCAATATTTACATATTTACTCCCGTATCAGCGCAGGCCGAATCAATCCAATAATTAACGAGCCATTTTTGCCTTGAATTAAAGAAAATGCAGTCCAACATTTATTTTGTTTTTAGATGTTGCATTTGTAAATGTCTTATATGTAAAATTTTTATTTTTCAGACACTAATTATGGTGTTTCATATTTATAATATGATCAATTCTGCCATTAAAATGATATTATTCTATGGTAGCAGTTGGTCAAATTGAAAAGCTTGAAACTAAAAATTGTTTTTTGAAAAATAAAAATCCCACTTCTCATTTTTTGGACTTGAAAAACCCTAATTCTGAAGACGTTGATTCCAGTTCCAATGCACAAGAACATGAATGCAATTCTGGCCAAATATCAATGGAGCATAAAGAAAGACATGCTGGACATGCCCTGCTAATACAAAGTGGGACTCTTTATGAACAAATAATGTACTAACAACACAATAGTGCACTTGAAATGGAAGATTTATCGGCACCCAATGCAACTATTTGGACTTTGAGCAGCTTCTCTCCGCCAATTTCTTGCAAATCCCTTAACTATCGACTCCATATAATTCGTAAATTTCCTCCATAGTCCCTTATTTATCGAAATTCTAAGCACATGTCACCATCTGTAAAGAGACAACCCTAGAAGTGCTCAGGCCAAATGCCAAAAGAATCCCATAGTTGCCCCTTTTGCCAAGTTACACTACTGTGCCACACACCATATTACCTGTTTCTTAGAGCAATTAATCAAATGCATTCCTTCCTTTCTAAAAAAGTTAAATAAACACAAAATAAATTACATGCTGCTGGTTAATGACCAATTTTATTTTTGTTCGTAATATAGATTATGATCAATTAGTTGGAAACTATAACGATGGGGGCAAAAATGAATGTAAATACAAATCTAGAGGCACTACAAGCACCTCAGTTACAACAAACTTCCCGCTGTGTATCATTTTCTATCAACGAACAAATTGTGACGTTCCTCTTCAAATATCCCCAGGACCATTGATCAGCTGAACATCAAACAAAGTCCATTCAAGTTAAAAATGTGACAGATACCTGCTTAAAAGAATTTACTAATAAAATCGGGTGAAGTTTCAGATTTTACCTTATTTTGCAGCACTACTCCATCAGGAACTACTATTTTCATCCCAGGTCTTGCAACAATACTAACTTTACCCTAAAAAAATGAAGCACCAGAGGAGAAAAGAGGGGGGTGGGGGAGTTTAAGAAACAGTTCGATGTCAAAACAAAATCAGTAAACTTAAATAAATTTGGTCAGCATATAGATTAATTAGATAGATCTTTTTCGGAAGTACAGAAAAGTCAATTGTTAGCTATATAGAGCATAACTGCCCATAACATAGACAATAGTAGACAAGTAACACATCTGTAAAGGAATGTAATAATCATGCATTAGGAGAATGTTGAGTACCTTGAGAGTTATGCCAGTTCCAAACCAAACATCACCAGCCACCTTCAAGCTATCAAGCTCAATAATGCTAGGGATGGACTTGAAACGACTATGGAAATCACTAACCTGAGGAAGAAACAATCAAACTAGGGGTAAGGTTGCCTACCACTTAGCTCTCCTAGAACCCGCCATAGGTTTTAGGCTTGTGCCCCGAGGACAACCTTTTTATGGGACAAGATAAATTAAAACATAATAGGGGCAAAGAAACTCCCACCTTTTCAAATTCAGGTCCTAATACAATAGAAGGATTGATAGGATTGGCTCTAGCACTGTTTCTGCTTAGAGTGCCTTCACTGAGTGTGAAAAGATCTGACTGCATGCATTTAATGTGTTGAATATTTTTGCATTAACAATTCAAAGCATAAAACTGCAGTGAAGATGGGCTCTAGTGTCACCTGGAGAAGTAATAAATCAGATGTTGCCTTCACTGGAAGATATCGAGAATGGGGAACGCTTATACCAATAGCGCGGTCAAAGAACTGGGTCAAATGTAAAGGTGACGATGACAATAAGAACGAGAAATATTGTATAGTACACAACACATGACAAATTTGACGTATTTAAACATGTACTGAATTAACTGTTTGTTCATCGTAAGGGATATTATTAGCATTAAATAGCATCAAATTGCGGGAGACAGCATGAACCTTGCCAATCCTTTGTCCATTCAACTTCAGAATCCAATTCCTCAGTAAAGAGAAAGCAATGGTACCTTTGACATAGGATATTTCTCCTTCTTCAGGGCAATTCTTTCTAAAAGCTGTTCAATGGACTTCATGCTCATCCACCTGTGTAAAGTTGGTATATTAATCTCGAGTTGAAGTATGACTGCAAGTTACTGGACAATTTTGCAACAGCAATACTCACATTTTGTCAGTAAGTTTCAAATTCCCCTTCGACTTCAAATTACCGACCATGATAAAACATGAAGGAACATATATCAGTTATCTGGACAAAAATCTAATGCTAAAAGTGTTAAACAGATGGTGGAAATAATTTAAAGAAAATATATGGAAAAAGTAAGGGAGGAAAGGAAAATCACAGCTTAAATGCTAAGCAGACAATCATCCAATTTCCATAGGCTGCATTGTTATGTTTAATAACATAGTCCAGGATGCATTAGTTGTAGCGTTTATCAGATGATACGCATGAAATGATAGATAGAAGAGGTGAGAGATTCAAACCATATCATGGCTTCGCGAGAGAGTATCAGGCAATAAGTTGTATCCAACAACTTGGCCAAGTCAGTTGAGACTTCTACGAGTTAACCAACGGTCGAGTGAGACCCATGGGTTTTATAGAATGTAAAACTGTTTCGGAATGCAAATTGCCGAGTCGGATACAACTTAGTTGATTCATTGAACCATGATTGTCATACAATATAGCATAAAAGTAATGCATCACAAGTACAATTTGCATCTGAGATTTTTAGATCTGGAAAATTATTAGAGTGGGTTTCTTTCCAGGAAGTTAATGGTTTTCTAGAGTAAGAACAATATTGAATTCCCAACACAGATATATTACTACTGCTTGTAAACAAATATCTTTTAGAATGAAATATCTGTAATCTAATGATTGCTTGTCTTGTTATTTTTTTTGGTTTGTTTTTACATTTTCAAATAGGTTTAATCAAAGTCAATGGTTCCCACCACTAAGAATCAAATAATGGTCTGCCAGTTGATGAACCAGTGACAGAGCAATCTGGTCCATACTCCAATTTCATCAGAAGATTCTGTATTAAGTTTGTTTTTTTGATAAGAAACAAAATATTTAGTTAATAATAATTGATTGTACAACATAGTAAAAGAGGATGGACAAGAAGTCCATGCCTCCCACAACAAAAAGCAAAAAAAAAAAAATGTGAGCAAAGACATGAAACGAAGACTGTAAATTCCTATAGTAAAAGTCGACATACCGTTTAACCAAGAAAAGTATGAGATAAGACAAACAAGCAGGGGATGGTGAGGTTTAATGTAATAAGGATGTACCTTTTGATAACAAATGGATAGGAATGCATTTATCACTACCGAGCCAAACTTAATTTGTTGACCATAAGCACGAAGCAAAATACAAACATTCAAAGTGCTAACAATCTTGTAACTAAAGTTGAGGTTGTAATACCTAAAATTTGGGATTATGTGCGGGAGTTTGTTGGAGTGTGTACTGGAAGAAACATTCCAAAACTAATAATCACGTTGGGAAACTTAAGATGTGCAAAACAGAATTATGAAACTGGTGACATGATTGAAACCTACCTATCACCTATTCACCCATTTGCTGATGATCCTACATAGATTTGTATTATAGCTTATTTATTTATTCAAGAGAAAAAAGAAACAAAGAAACAAAGAACGAACATGCATCCTTGAAGCCTTTTACTGCTCAAACAGGAAAAAAGTAGATTATGTCATAGATGAATTCAAATTGTAAGCAAACCAGATTAAACTGGCTGAGGAGGTAATTCAAACATAACCTCCTAGTCCATCAGTTGTTTTACTATTTGCCACCTCTGCCAATGATCAAACCAGTCGTCATTAGTTTTAGGGATGCCTATCTGTGTTGAGAAGGAATTACTTCCCACTTCATTGCCCATTCTCAACATTGGACAAAAAATATGCACAACAGAGTAGTCGGGTCAGAGACTTATACAATTACCAATACAGAGAATTGACTCACTCCATTGAGAGATGGTTCAATAACTGAGAATAAATGCTAGCTCATATGTTCAGGCTTATCCATGGGCTCACAAGTTTTGTTTTACGGTTCTAGACATAAACTTATGTTTCAGAACTTTTTGCAATACCAATAGCTTGAGGACATTACCGTTAAGCTTCAAATATATTCTGATGTTAACCTTACCTAAATTACTCCAGGAAGAATAGAGGCGATACTTGAATCCCTTGAACCAAAAAAAACATGGAACTACGACAGTAATGACACCAGAATGTGCTAAAATTGGACGTAGCACCAACCTGAAAATTCTCTTTGCCGGATTGAAGGTCACTTTCTTCTGGATTAGATAATGAGGTGGGTATTACCTGAAAAATTACAAATAATTAGAAAATATTGGAGAGCAAAGAGCAAAGTAAGTAGCAGTCCTGTTCATGTACCTCCATGCAGTACTCAATATTGCTTTGGATCAAATGATTTAAGATTTCTAAGACTTTCATTAAGGAGCTCAATTATGATGGATTGGCTTTTAACGATACACAATATAGTGATAAGTATAAATGTTATGAAGTCCCAAGGGCAGGTAAAACTACAAATATTGGCAAATGAATTATTGCAAAACAAGGATACTTGGGTCAACAGCATCAGAAATATTGTCGGGATTCAGCACAAGCATATATTCCTTACCCTGGAAAGCAAGTTGAAGAGGTTAGTAGAAATACCGATAAGGTCATGTCAAATCTCCTTCCCCAACCAACAGTGGTCAGGAACAGCACAAAAACACATTGGTCTCCAATTGTCCAAAAAACATGGAATGAGTCTGGATTTGTATTACAAATGGCACAAAAACTTCTACCTGTGACAATAATACATCAAGTTTTCCACTGTGCTTCAAGGAAAGGAACACATCACCATAGTCGGCAGGATACCTTAACATGTGCAATATTCAAATTAGATGACAAAGATATGAGATTATCAAGGCAATCACACCACATGCATATCAAGACAGAAGAACACAAGTTAACAACCAAATACCTACTTTTATTATAACAATTGGAATCTAGTACCAAAAAGGGCACATAATTTGCCTTTAAAGTTCCAAGCAACATAAAGAAACACAGAGCAAAGAATAACACAAAAAGGTGATCAGAAATCACTAACAATGCCAGCTACTATTTGTGAAATACAGAAAGCAAACAGCATGGCTGACACAACACAAAGTAATTTAGTAACCCAAAAAATAAAAGCTAAATTCTACGCCACCTAAAAAAAATAAAAAAAGAAATCTAATTTAAACATAGAAGCAATTTTAAATACAGAAAATGACATAAAAGCACAGGAAGAAGAGCAGATAAATCCAGATGAGGGCATACATTTCATCCTCGCTGTACTGTCCTTCAAATGGAAGCGGCACAAAATCTTGGATATCTACGCCATGATGTTGGCCCTGTATCAACCACGTTAGGTTTTACAAAATAAACATTATAAATTATGGCTTTCACGACAAAGGCCAGAATTAGAACCTATTGTACCAATACATTGAGCATTAGGAATACAAACCTGGATAAAAGTATAAATACTTTTATTTGAGTGTTTCTCTAAAACCTAAAATAAACAAGCAGCAATAATTAATTTGCAGCAACAACTGATTTCAGAGTCAAAATGGAAATGGAAAGATCAGTCACCTTCAGGGTATCACCATGTGTCTTGACCGTGTTCATCAAAAGCAGGGGAATATTGCATCCATACTTAGAATTAAGAGACTACAAACAATTACAGAGTTGCAAAATTAGAACTAAGACATTGCAAATGAGTAAACAGTTGGATTGTGAAACTCAATATAAAGCAACTAAACAGAAAAGTAGACAAAGAAAAGACAAAGAAATGACCTCAATATGATTAACAATCAAGTCCAGACATGTTAACCCATTACAAACTTCAACAGCAGACCTGCATAAGAAAATAAAAATTAACAAATATATGACATACCTAGCACTTGGTATAAGTCTCAAGAATCCACCTCATGGGAAAAATGGCTAAAGAAGGGTTATGTGAAGTTAAACTTACCCATTCACCAGTGACACCTAATTCTTAAGGACATCATTTTAGAACATGTCAACTTTTTGTCCACAGTAATATAGATATTCTAATTAGTTTCCAGGGTTGACAAAAGAAGTAAGTTTTGATGCCAATTTTATCCCATACCAGGATAGCAAACTAGACCGCAAATTTTTACACAATTATTTTAAAAAATAATTATGTTCTAGTTATAGAACAACATTTTTAGCTATAGGCATTGCCTTGCAAGCTCCACAAGAGAAATTAAACTGGAAAAAAATCTGCTCAACAAGAAATAAATGGGTTCATTTAAGTTTAGGCAATAGTTTACAACTTAACCAATCAAAGGCTAGAATGTCTTGTGCTCCGTTCTAGCGCATCACATTAGGCATGATAAAGGAGGTGAAAGGTAAAATCAGATTCAGATTAGCAAACATGAATACAATTCCAACTGAAGCAAGAGATTTATCAATATGATTAGCCACCAAATGATGATGACAAAAGAGTTCAGACTAGACTGTCAACAGCACCTGGTAGCAAATTTATACTTATAAAGAATACATCGGAGGCCATCAAGGCCTGACAATTTTTTTTTTGACAGAAGTAGATTCTAACAAACAAACCTTACTAAAATCTACCGGAGATAAAAAGAGTAAAATAAAACAGGTATTCCAACAGTTCATGACAGTATGAAGAGAGCTCACTAATGGTTACAGATATTGAGTGATTTAAGCAAACCATTATCTAGCACTGGCTTAGCCTAGAACAAATACCAGATCAATAATCATTAATCCCCCAAAAAAATAAAATAAAAAAAACACCTTTCCTTAGAAAAGTATACAATTAATGCATTTTGTACAACTCTCCCCTGTCTCACAGGTATCTCTAAGACCATAACTGATTTGGAACCGAAAGTTAAAAAAAAACATTAAACTGCTACTTCTTACATTGTTTTGAGATAAGCAAATAGCATTCCCCCTAAATGCAGAAAAGTAATACCCCACCTTCAGTCAACTCTATAGAAATGTAACATACCAACCTTTAGTCATCTCTATACGTTATTGCAGCACAATCATTGAGTCCAAAGATTCCTCATGCGAAGTCTTTATGACATACAATCCAAAGTCATATTAAAATCAATAAACATGCATAAACGAACACCAGCCAATCCAGTCAGGCAAACGAGAGAGTATGAATTCCATAATGTGAACAAAGTATTATATGTATAGACATTGTAATTATAAAACTCATTGAGACATCCTCTAGTCTGCATATAATGTAATCAATGGACATAGCAGCTGCTTCAAGCCTTCAACTATGTAAGACAATTGGTAAAATTCCTGGAATAGAGAAATGCTTACTTGGGTCCATTAAACCCCCATTTTGTCCCCAAACTACCGTTGTACTTTAACACAACAAGTTTGTCCAAAAGATTTTTGATTTCCACGGAGTCTGCATTGGTAGAAAACATTAAACAAAGAGAGAGCAATTTGATAAAATAACTAGAAGCAATCCAATGATTATGCCTTCAACTATACAAACCCAAAAAGGATCAATAAGGAGTAAATAAACAAAGCACCTAGGAGTCATATTGTTACCATCTGTCATAGGCACTAAGCTTTCATACGGAAGCACATATATTTTATCCCTTGACTTGTTGGTCTTGCTTTGTTCTATCTGTTGAACGTCCTCTCTTCCATGCATATTTCATCCAAACCCAAAATCAGAAATAATCATTTCAAATATAATTATTGCACGACCAATTTTATTAGGAGGTTTATACATAACTCAAAATATTGAACCACACTAGATGCATACATCCATAAAATGTATTCTACAGCTATTAATAGGTAAAAACAATTAGTAGAGACATGAAACACAACTTGGTACTGTGAATAAGGTTACTATTCTTAACAAAATTGCCACTGCTAAGGGAAACAGATTAACAAATGTAGAATTTCCACTTATTCAAAGCTTGGTATGTAATTTGATAAGTTCAGTATTCGACAACTCTATATCAACGTATGGCACTAGTAATGCCCAATAATTTGAAGGTTAAATGAACAATGAAACACAATCATACCGAATTTCTGCTTTTGTTGCAATAGCAGTTGCCCCCATTGCCCCGCCAAACCTCTTCCGTTCATAAAGAAAAGTCTTGGTAATCAAATTACAAAACAGATACACAAACTGCACTGAATCATTAGCCGGAACCGGGTACGTAATTCTCTTATACGTATCCCACGGCATACTCGAATCCACCAAACCAACTATCGGAATCTGCAGCCTATCCGCCTCCAAGATCACCGAAGACTTCCTCTCAGTGTCAAAAATCACCACACAATCCGGCGGCTCCACCGCACCCAGATTCAATTTCTTATTCCGTCCCCTAAATTTCTTCGGGCTCGAAGAATTGGACAAAAAACCTCCGAGTTTCCAAGAATTATCGATTTTGCAGCCGATTCTATAGGTCATCTGATCAAGAATTTCGTCGAACAGTGAGTTGGTGTTCACGAAGAGGAATTTACCCTTTGCGCGGACGAGGTTTCCGATGAACTGGCAGGCGTTTCGAAGGCAGATCAGGGTTTTGTCGGAGTCGATTATGGTCATTGCGTTTCGGGCTCCGCAGGAGTAGATTTTGAAGTGGTGCGCCGCCACACGCCGCCCCAAGTGGGCGTTTGTACTCAACAGTTTCTGGATCACAACCGAGTGTATCGTCATTGTGAAATGGTTAGAGTTGAAACTTGGAGTGGGAAAAAAAAGCTTGGTTCTGCTAATTTTCTCTTTGGTTGTGCTGCATTTCAACTGTTTGATCAAAATCCTCTATGAGTTACGCAATGGAGATATGGGTTAGGACTCTGCGTGTGAGTGTGTGTGCGCGAGCGCGGAGGGAATTGAGGAGGGTTTAAGCGGCGAAGAAGGCAGTGAATTTACAAGTGAGCAGAGTCCTCTCTCTGTTTTCGGAAAAAAGATTCATTGCAACCACTAACCAATAATATATAAATAAATAAGAAAGTAAATTTCACATAAATCAATAATTACATATCTATGCAATCAAATAATTATCAAAAAAAAATTTCAAGTAAATTAATAATTATTCAATCGTAATTTATTTTATCCATTTGTAATTTTATTATTAGTTGTTGACATTGTATCACCGTTGTATTGAATATTTTTTCTGTTGTGGATCATTGTAATTTAAAGATTAAATTTTTTACATTAGACTTCAATATATTAAAAATATTATAATATGGTCTTTTTGTTATTTATTTTGTAGAAATTCATCTTATTAACGTTGACGGAATGAAAAATAAAAATTACTAAAAAGACATGTTTATTTTGAGGGGAAGGATGGGTGAGATTGAAATCTTATTTCTAATCCTCTCTAACCCCGTGGGTACAAAAGATATAATTTAATGTTTTTTCTGATTCTATTTAAGGGTGTTAATTGAGCTGAACTTTTGTGAGTTTGAGCATGAGTCTATCATGTTCGTTTTTTTAAATGAGCCTAAAAAAATATTTAAGTTCGGCTTGTTTCAAAAATAAGCTGAGTTCGAGTTCGAATCAATCCTAATAACTTGAATATTTTACATATAAATGAGTCGAACTTTATAAGTTTTGAGCCGATTATTTTTAGGCTCTTTTTTTTTTAAATGAGTCTGAAAAATTGTTCAACCTAAGCTTGTTTAGAACATAAGTTGAGCTCAAGCGAGTGCTATTCAAGTCAAGCCCGAGTAACTCGTCTCGATCAACACCCCTAATTTTATGTCATGTTTGGCTTGTAATTTTTTCAATGCATGTGAGTCCCACATAAAAATAATGATTGCATTTAATAATTAATTTAAGAAAAATTTGGAGGCCGATCCCTCTATATAGACTTGTTTGAAGTTAAATTCGTCAAAAAAACTTATTTGTTATGAAGTCTGTTTTTTATTAATTTTACCATATTATCCTTTTTATTTAGAAGCGAAATAAAACTTCTAAATTTTAGGAGTTTGACTAATATTAAAATATTTTCTCTCTCATATCTATTTATATCCATATATATATACATTAAAAATAAAAAATAGTAATATTTAAATACAAATAAAAATTATCATTTGGATACAAAAAATAATATATTGAAACAAAAAAAAATAGTAACATTTAAATATAAAAAAAATTGAAACATTCAATATTAATATTTTTAAAAAATAACAACAGTAATATGTTCAACAAAAATAGTAACATACTTAACAAAAGCTGTAACATACTTAACAATAATTATTTCTCTCAAATTCAAAAGCAAAAAATAGTACCATTTAAATACAAAAAATAGTAATATTCAAAAAAAAATAGTAACATTGAATATTAATATTTAGGAAAATAATATTAGTAACATAGTCAACAAAAACAGTATCATGCTAAAAAATAATATTACATGAACAGTAACATACTCAACAAAAACAGTAACATGAACAATAATATAATAAAAAAAATAGTGACATAAATTTGAATTTTACTATTTAAATTCATAATAATTTTTTTTGCATTTGAATGTAACTTTTTTTTTTAATGTTACTATATATATATATATATATATATATATATATATAACTATGAGAGAGAAAAGATTAACTTCTTTTCAAAAAAGGATGGACTTAAGTCATTAGATATAATTTTAAACATGAATTTAGTCCCTTATAAATTTTCTTGCATGACTTATTTTCAAACAAATACATTTAGGGGGACTCATTTACAATTTTTACTTAATTTAAATACCCTCCGGTAGGTTTAGATTATTAGACGTTTGAACAACCAATGTTATAATTTAATTTTTGTGTGGTCCGTAAAACAAAAATAAAGATTTTATTTTATATTAAGTGGCTTTAATGCTCTTATCTTGAAGTTGAACATTAGATATTAGAAGGGTTAATCCTATAATTTATTAATCTAATTACCATATATTAGTTTTCTTTCTTATTTTAATTTTATATGTCCATTAATTGTATTATATTCACGTTGTCATGTATAATTACATGTACCAAAGGCTTGTTTGGATAGATTTTTTAAGAGTGTTCAAATTGATTTCTTCAAATCTTTCCAAACATAAACCTTTATTTATAAAGATGAGATTCAACATTGAATATGATCCATACCCATATTTAAAATAACTCATACACATGTAAGATCCACGATATATCATAATTATTAACAATTATTTATCCTATAAATAACCATTTTGTCCTTAATCAATTCAATTTATACTTATGTTAAGGAGTACAATTGTTTTTTACATCTTTAACCCCTTAATCCATCTTTTCAAACCTAATCTCCCTTAGGTTTGATGAAATCTATGATCGTGGGTAGGGGGTGTTAATCGTGTCGGGTTAAATGATTACATGTCGGGTTAAACGAATGACGAGTGAAAATCATGCAAACTCATACACGAACTGTTTAATAAACGGATAACACAATACGACTCGTTTAACCCGTTTAATTTTAAACAAGTTGTGTTTGGGTAGAGTCGAGTTAACACGGTAAACTACCAGTTATAGTCATTTAATTGTTTGTTTTAAAATGTTATATAACTTTATAAAACTAACAATTTTAGATTATTTATATATTTTTTGTGAATGTCACTAAAAAAATATATATTGGCTAATTTTTTAAAATAATCATTAATTTATTATTATATTAATTTTATTTAAACGAGTAATAAACAGGTTAGCAAGTCTCATATAAACAAGACCCGTTTATTAAACATATTTGACAGGTCAACCCGTTTATTACCCAAATCGTTAAAGTTTTACCAAAATCAACTTAATTCTTGTTGATTCGCGTTGATTAATTGTGTTGTGTTGGACTTTGACAGTCCAAATAATAAGTTTAATATTCCGGCCAGCTACAGGTTAGGTTTGACAATCCAAAATTGAATTTTTAATCCAAACATAAGGTTCGAGGGTTTTTTAAACTATTTTTCTTAAATATATCTTACCAAGCTCTCATATCCGCTTACCGTACAGTTCCAAAAATTTAAAATTAGGGCTTTTTTGTTCAAATCAAACCCAAGTCCCCAGGCGTTCAAAAATCGACCGAGATGTTGACAAAACAAAGTAACAAATTTATGAGTCTACTATTATTCCTAGTGTCAAATGAATGGAAAAAAAAAAAAGCATATTTTTTCATGTCAAAATCGAGCCATTATTACTTAATACTAAATCGACCCTTTTATTTTCTATATTTGCAAATAGTATCATTTTCGTACTCCTCTAGAGCTAATTATCTCTAATCCATTAGTTTCGGGCGGATTCGAACCGTGTTAGCATATCATGTCTAAAATCCACATCCCTACCCCTAACTTTAGGACTTGACTGTGGTATCATCAAAAAAATTTTGGTACCATATCTCTAAAATTTACTACTTCAAATAGTGTTTTAAAACTTTTGTGGGTCATTTTATAATTAAAAAATTTATTATTTTTGTGGGTGTTTTTCTCACTGTTGTGAGTATTTTTTATTTTTACCACTTTTCTTCTGTACACAAAAAATTACCACTTTTGTGGGTATTTTCACCACATTTGTGGATGTTTTTATCACTGTTGTGATAATTATTTTTACCATCTTTTTGAATACCACAACAGTGATAAAAACATCAACAAATCTAATAAAAATAACCACAAATATGATAAATAGATATCTGATACCGAAAAAAATAAAAATCCGGTACAGTAGTTAAAACTCCCTAAGTTTAACATAGTAAGATTAAAAAATCGAACATAATTACTGTAATCATCCTAGGATGGTGCTTTGCTTGAAGATAACTTCACAAGACTGACAAGGGTCGCATACGCAAAGGTATACATGAAGAGAAGCATGGGTTTCTTGCTAGGGCAATGCAAGATAGAACATATATGATGTAATTCTTAACTAATTATCTTGGAAAGTTAGCTTCAACTGTAACGGAAATGGGTTGGATGAGTTGAGAGTTTAATTAAATTTCATCACAAGTTTTAAAACTTTCAATCTCGATCGGGTTTTAATCTAAGCCTTTCAATTAAGTACTACTTATTTTGAATGTTATTGACTTGGATTGAACTCGGGTTACGTAACTTAGCCTGTGACTCGGGTTCAATTGAATTCAATTTGCATGCTAAAACTTGAGTTCATTCTTTTATGAACTCGACTATGTTCGAACTCATATTAAGTAATATTATTATAGATTCCTTAATGTTATACAACATATATAGGAACCAACATTGGCCTTGAGTATGGATTTGAACTTGAGTTTAAGTTTCAACACAAGCTTGAACTTGGTTCTTTTCATTAGGTGAATTGACCCAATTCCAAGCTCAATTCACGATGGTTGTGGTCAAGTTTGTTCTGTTTCATATAAAATATCTTAGATTCGATATTTTCTATATTCTTAAATAGTCAGTTATCTTTATTCTTCAAGAGACATATCTTTAAATTAGTTCGGGTTACGGTGGCCGGTCTTAGAGTTCGAAAGAGTAGTCGGCGCAAATTTAAATATCCTGTAACAAAAAAAAAAAAAACTCAATTCATGATTTTGAATCAATCTCGAATAATATTTTTGAATAAACGACCTCAGCCCGTGCAGTTTAGTATTAATTTGGTTTGGTTCATTTGCACCCTTAGTTAGATCCACAACTTTGCATAAAAAACATTCATACAGACATTGGCAAACATAAGTATTGCCAATGCCAAACATAAGTATTGCCAATGCCAAACATAAGTATTGGCATACAAATAGGGCTGATAATCAAACAACTCCAAACGAGCTCAAGCTGAGCTTGTCACTCTCGTTTTTTCAAATGAGTCTAAAAATTTATTCAAATTTAACTTGTTTAGAAAATGAGTCGAACTTAAACGAACACAAAATGAACTGAATTCGAGCAGAACTAGAATATTTATACATAACGAGTTGAGTCTGTCGAGTTTGAGCAAAATTTGTCGAGCTCATTTTTTAAACGAGTTAAAAAACTATTCAAGTTTGATTTGTTTATAAAACAAACTAAACCCGAACGAATCCAAAATAAGCGAACCTGAACCAAACTTAAGTAATTTACAAATCAAAGAAACATAGTGTACAGAATAAGTTCTTCAAATCATTTACAAACAAAAGATAAGAGACTTCCAAGGTTGGAAAACTTTGTTTATAACCAATGATTGGATGCCTTGCACGTCTTAGTCACTGAAGTTTTCCTGTCTTTGTCTTTATCTTTCACTTGTCTTCACATTTTTCAACCCTTTTTTATGCCTACCCATTGTTATAGTCCTTGCAGTTGAAACAATTTTTATTTCTGTTGTTGTAGTGTTTGCTTGAAAGACTTAACAATGGGGAATCGCCTTGGTCTCTATTCTTTTTCCATAAATATGTTTAAAAAAAATAGAAAACCTTTGCCCATTGACACCATGTTCAAGCTTCCTTCTCCAATACTCACTTGGCCTGCAGGTACTCTCTATCCTCTGTGTGTGGTGGGGATCTTCTATTGCACAGCACCGATTTTTGTTCCTCAAAACGAAGCTGTTTTACACACATAAACTGCGTAATTTGTGTGTGAACCGGTGTCGTTTTTAAGGAAAAGCACCTCTACCCATGTGTCTGTCTGTTTATTTTTTGGTTTTGGTTTTTTATAGGTGAAGGCTTTGCAAGTGGAACAATTGATCTAGGAGGACTAGAGGTGTGTCAAATTACATCTTTCACTAAAGTTTGGGCTACACATGAGGGAGGACCAGACAATCTTGGGGCAACATTTTTTGAACCATCTTCTTTTCCAGATGAGTTCTTTATGCTTGGTTACTATAGCCAACCAAACAATAAGGCTCTTTTTGGATGGGTCCTCGCCGGAAAAGATGTCACCGGAGACCCTTCCGGTGAAGGAACTCTGAAGCAGCCAATTGATTACACTCTAGTTTGGAGTAGTGAGTCATTGAAAATCAAGCAAGATGGCCATGGTTATATTTGGCTACCAACACCACCTGATGGTTATAAGGGCATTGGTCATGTTGTCACGAGCTCTCCTCAGAAGCCTTCCCTTGATAAAATTCGGTGTGTTCGTGCTGATTTTACTGATGAAAATGTAAATGATGCGTGGATTTGGGGCCCGACGAAGGAGATCAATGCAAATGGGTTCAATGTTTATGCCTCAAAACCAACAAAAATTGGGACACAAGATTTAAGTGTCTCTGCAGGTACATTTATAGCCCAAAATGGTAAAATTGCTTCTCTTCCTTGTTTGAAGAATGTCAAACAAAATTTAACTGCTATGCCTAATCTAAGCCAAATTCAGGCATTGATTCAAGTTTACTCTCCATGGATTTACCTCCACCCTGATGAACAATACCTTCCCTCTTCTGTAAGTTGGTTTTTCAAAAATGGGGCATTGCTTTATCGAAAAGGCCAAGAATCGAACCCAGTTTCCATTGACCCTACAGGCTCAAGTCTTCCCCAAGGTGGTTCAAATGATGGTGCTTATTGGTTAGACCTCCCAATTGAAGCATCAGCCAAAGAGAGAGTTAAAAAGGGAGATCTTCAAGATGCTGGGGTCTATATGCACATAAAACCTGTACTAGGTGCAACATTCACAGACATAGCTACATGGGTATTTTACCCTTTTAATGGGCCAGCAAGGGCAAAAGTAGAATTCATTAATATTTCCTTAGGAAAAATAGGTGAACATTTAGGTGATTGGGAACATGTGACATTAAGGATCAGCAATTTCAATGGGGAGCTAAAAAGTGTCTATTTTTCACAGCATAGTAAGGGAATATGGGTGAGTGCCTCAGAGCTTGAGTTCCAAAATGGTAACAAACCGGTGACTTATGCATCGTTGCATGGCCATGCCTTTTACCCCAAACCAGGGCTGGTTTTGCAGGGCAATGGAGCGATAGGGATAAGGAATGATACCGCGAAAAGCAAGATGGAGATGGACACTGGGGTGAGGCATTTGGTGATTGCTGCAGAGCACTTGGGGTCAGAGATTGTTGAGCCACCATGGTTAAACTATGCTAGAGAATGGGGACCAAAGATAAACTATGACATTGATGAAGAGATCAAGAAGGTGGGGAAACTGTTGCCTGGGAAGCTTAAAACCGCATTTGAGAAGTTGGTGAAGAGTCTTCCTGACGAGGTGTTGGGTGAGGAAGGGCCTACTGGCCCCAAATGGAAAGCTAATTGGAGTGGGGATGAGAGGGTGTGATTGTAAAACGCGACATAGTGTTCGAGACTCTCGTTGTAAAGGTATATGGAGTAGTTCAAATGTATGCAGTTCTAATTTATTTATTTTATAAAAATATATTTTGCTGAATATTTTATTCATCTTGTGATTTTGCATTTACTCTCAACAATGTGCCATTAATAAATCATTTTAGGCACTAGTTCTACTAGAGGTGTTAATCGAGACATGTTATTCGAGTTTAACTCGAATAGGACTCGATTCGAGCTCGACTTGTATTCTAAACGAGTTGAACTTGAATAATTTTTTAAGCTCGTTAAAAAAAACGAGTTCGACAAGCTCGAACTCAAACTTGTAAAACTCGAATCAATTAATACCCTTAATTGGTTAATATTGATTTAATTAATCTACATTTAAATACTTGAGACCTTACTAGTAAATGCTCCAGACATGCCATGTTGTTAAGGGACCACAACATAGGATTTTGTGAAGGGGCATAAGAGGATTTTTGAATGGGTTTTAAGGGGTCGGTACTATTTTTAGAAATTATAGGATAAAAAGTATTACTTTTAAAAATATAGGTCAAAAAGTACACAACCCCTAACAAATCTCTAAAATACCCTCTTCAGTAGAATGTGAACCGATTCCTATATTTTTGCTTCCACAACCGAAATTTAAGAGATCTTAACAATTACACATAAATTCCTTCAATATCGCCGAAACCCCATTCTTCCAAAAACTTCATAAAACCTCATTTTGGGTGTTCAAAACTTTCTGTTAATCGTTGTTGAAGAAATGATCTTTTCAAAACTTCACTATCCAAATCTTCACCTTTGTAGCAGAAGGATGAGAGTGGTTATAAATTTTTTTAGTAACGAAAAATCAACTCAATCACACGATTTTGGATATGAATTGAAATCCGATTCATTAATATCTCTTGGTTACATTAAAGGGCAAAATAGTTTCAGTAAATGGTCCATCTAGGTGAGAACAATTTAGATAAGGGTTTGAATGGAGTGGTTGTAACAGAAGGATGGGAGTGGTTGAATTTTTGGAAAAGAAGTTGATAATTCAAGAAAAATGTTGTTTTTCCTAACGTTTTTATTTTATTTACTTTTTTTTTCCCTCAATTACCTTTCTACTTCTAGTGCTTGGTACTACATGCACACCAAGTATTCGATCATTTGCCAAAATAAAAATAAAAGAGGCTATATACATTGTGATATGCGTCATGTCAATATATGCAGTTTGATATTGATTTGTAACAATGTGACTTTGGTTTCTAGCAGTGTGAATTTGGTTTGTAACACTGCGATTTTGTTAGTACATTGTAATATTGTCTTGTAGTACTGTGACATTATATGCGAAGTAGTAAATCATCTCGAATCAGAATCATCATCTTGATTATTACGATCATCCTCATTTGAGTCATCATCATTGACATTTATCCTCACATGAACGTGATTGACATTAAGAGACCGTAATGTTTTTTTTTTAAAAAAAAAAACATATGGACGACATTGTGACAGTGTGAATTTGATTGTAGCAGTGTGACATTTTTAATGCTAGTGTGACATTGTTTTGTAACACTGTAAAATTATCGTGCGAGACAGCAAATCATCATTCGAATTAGAATCATCATCTTGATTATTACGATTTATAAAAAAATAAATTATACAAATATGAAAAAGACATGAATGTTTGAATAAAAATGAATGTTTGAATAACTTAAGTTGAATGAAAGAGAAAAATATAATTTAAAATTCAAAAATGATATTCCATAAATTTAGGAAATTGAATCTCTAATATAACTGTCATATTTGTTTCCCACTAATAAAGGAAAAGACAATTTCGTAAGAGAAAAAATTATAACTCAGCAAAAGTGTACCTCTTCACCAAATATTTACACATAAATGTACTTATACACAAATATTTTATATTGAGGTATTTTTACACAAATAAGTAAGATAAAATGTACTTTTTTACAATTTTCTCTTTTTGAATTGTCCACTTGGCAATGGGCCGGTCCGTTTTTCAACATGGTGGACATTCATGGGTCACCCCAATCCCCGTGGGGAGGCCTTGGTTTATGCAGTAGGCCTGGCCCATAAGGTTGCCAAATTGCAAAAACTCAAAAGTTTTTTTTTGAATAGTGGAGTTCTTTTTGATATTATCTTTTATTTCTTATTACCAAAAAAAAAAAAAATCTCAAGCCCTCAAACTTTAATTTCAACTAATAAAAGTAGCAATTTTGTACCTAATTTCACCTTTAATACCTCAAATTATGATTTTAAATTTTCTTAGGGGTATAGATATTATAAATGAAAAACCCATTAAATCCAAAAAATGGAAAAAAATAACGATTCTTTTATGGCCAATAGGCACATCATGAATATCAAATTCATTGTATCTTACTTAATGTTGTTGTCATAGTTGAGGCTCAACCTCCACTTGTAAATCATGACAAGATATACTGTGAATTGTTAGTTGTGGTGGACAAACCATTTATGATTGTGTGAGGCCTACTCATAAAGGTCCAAGTTTAATAGAAAATGAGCGGATGGCTAAGGGATGCGAGTGACTCGAGAGACAAGGACGAAGATCAGGTAAGAAGCAACACATCAGTATTTTTTGTGAATTTTTTAGTCTTACATGTGGGATAGAACTTGAGTGTTAGAGTAACCTTAAAACCAAGGCAAGTTATCGAAATACAATGGCTCGATCGATAATAAGGAGTGAAGTTGACAGCATTGGTCGGATCACAGATCCAAATCCAGTTGCTACTTCAATGGGACTTGTTGGAGGGAAATCTTAAGCCATTGAGTGGCCCTATGAGCTTTTACATTGAACATAATCGGGTCTTTATTTGGTGCATAAGAACCCACACCCACAAAACCACAAAAGTAAAAGTGTGATGCCAAACCCAAAATCCAAAAATATTATATAACTACTATAATTTTTTTTTTTTTTCTAAATTCTAAAATAATAAATTGAAAAGAGAAAATTGTGAATGAAGAGATTGAAAAAAAAAAAAGAAAAAAGAAATACAAATCCTGTGCACCGCAAAGCTTATAATTTTTTGGCTTTGAAACCTTGATGAATTAATTCATTAGATTTACCCGTGTAATCTTAATCCTTGACATGAATGTACATTCTTGCAAGAGTAAACTCTGAATAGCTGTAATTACTTACAAATCACAAGTATCAGTTCAGTTTCAGAGACACTAACGAGGGTGGAATCTCTAACGTTCGGGTCTACGGTTCGTCCAGGTCCAACATCACACCGATGGACTATCCATGTGAGTTAAAACCCATAGAGTTCATGGGCAACATTTGGAGGAAATATTAAAAGCAACGGTAATACGATCTTATTATTGTCACGTGGTTATACTAAATAATCAAAACAACATAAGTTTAGTGAAGTACACTTAATGTGCTAACCACTTATAACTAGACTAGATCCAATAACAATTGTACATTTTATCATGTAGAGTTAACTAGATCTTGCTACATGGTGATTTCTAATTCGTTGATGATATCATATGATAATAATCATGTGGTATATTGCACGTATTTAATATTTTCTCCAATATTTGAGCCGTAGACATTTCAGCCAACTAGCTAGGTGGACAAAGAAAAAAAAGAACAAAAACAAAGAGAGAAAATTGATTAGATTATCAAACTTTATGACAATTATTCGCCTTCTAGACAATCCTCCAACATAGAAAAATAATTTGATCATCAGGCTTGTTACAACCGAGAAAAGGGGAGATGTTAATGATATCACCGTTTTATTGAATATTTTGTTAAGAGGGAGAAGATGTCAGATTGATGGGCATGAATGTCTTTACCTATCTGTTGTGCGTGAAAGTCTGCCTTGGACTAGACCAAGGAGGGAATTAGTAAATGTGCACGTAAGTTGACCCAAACATTCCCCGACAACAGTTCCCCAAAAAAAAAAAGGTTTTCTATAGTTTCTAGATATCAAGTTAACTTAAAAAAAAAAAAACAATGAAATATTCAAGATTTATATCATCCAAAGGACAGAAAACTTAAACTTATGAAAACCAAAACAATATTGTGACCAACCAGACACCAAACTGACCTAAGTTGCAACTAATTCATTAAAATGGAAGATATGAATACTTAATAGATTTAGATGAGTGCTGAAACAATGGTTCACCCACCTCCTTCAGTCCTTGCCTTTGCCTATCTCTTGTGCTGTTGTTATCATAATATTCCTTTATCCTTAGTGCCTCGTGTTGTATACGGATCGTTGTTATCGTTGAATCGTGCTGTCGCAAGTTATTCAGTTATGCATGATTGATTTGGATCGTTGTTATCGTTGAATCGTGCTGTCGCAAGTTATTCAGTTATGCATGATTAATTTGTAGTCTCACGCGATATTATTCTTTTGTATGATATTATTCTTGTTTTTGTATGATTTCATGAGGACACCTTTATAATTTTATACTAACACAACTTCTAGCTTAGCAATTTGTTGCTTAATAATTGTATATTACCATACGCATATAAGGGCCAATGACACTTTTGATACAGAAAAACTTTCATATTTTCAATTTATACCTTAAAAATTAAAATACTTCGCTTGCACCCTCAATAACATAAAAATGTATCAATGTGATATTTTTTAATAAAATAGAGTACAAAATTTTCATGTAAAATATTTAAAGCTGTATAGAAATAGAAAAATATAGAGATTAAAACGCAAAAAAATTATTAGACAAAGCAACAAAATTTTGGTTTTGGAACCACATTTTTACTTTTTTTTTTTGATTGAGGGTTTAGTCTTTGAATTCTAATATTTCAGGGTGTAAATTAGGAATTTGAACATCTTTAAGGGTGTAAAGTACTATTAACCACAGATATAATAGAAAGTTCTATAGATGATGATCTTTATTTTCCTTTCCAGTTTTCTGATAATAGTCGTAGACGAAGAAGGAGAAGAGGAGCTATCTGAAATCTGAATATAAAGGCTTCATTGGCTGGCTTTTGCAAAAAATAATCCATGAAGGAATTGACTTTTTCAAAGGAACAAAATGTAATTAAAAGGTGAAACATGTTCTTTAACTTTTGTTTATGGATTGAAAAAATTATACTTTGACCCCCTCAATTATGACATTTTTCTCAATTACTATATTTTTTACATTGTACCTTCAACTATGCGATTAGTTTCACAGTATCTCAATTATTAACATCTATTATATTTTTAACGGAAATTTGTTTCGTTTTGTCCTTTGAACTATATAATTTTTTCACTTTGTCCCAACGCATCAGCAATTTCAATTCAAAAAGATAGTGGGTTATTTCTGATGGGGCAATGTGAAACAATTTGAGTAGCTGAGGGAATAATTTAAAACTTTTGACAATTTAAGGGACAAAATAAAATTGAATTCATAGTTTAGAGCATCAAAGTGTAATTTACCCTTATGGATTGTCACCAATCTCTTGCTGATTTTTGATGAGACCCAAGCTAACTAGGCTGCACAATATCCCCCATTTTTTTCTTTCTTTTTTTCGTAACCGGAATTATCTCAACCATATATGCCCTCTAAATTCAGAACTGCAATCAAACACACCAATATAAACCACCACCCGCAACTCAAGCACATATCTTAAAACTTTTACGCTATTAAGAACTCAAATTTAGAATGTCGAGTTTAGGACTAGTTTTATTTTTTCAATCACTAAATCAACTTGTGCAGGTTTGTCCTTTTATTATTGGGTATATAAAGACAAATGGTAGCATAAAAGCTAGGACAATGCTAGGATTAGGAGGAGAAGTTCATTTATCACCTAACCAAATTTATAGAGGAAAGTGAATTAGGTCACCCAACTCCTAGCTCTCTGTGGTCAAAATATTGAAGTTCATTGAAGTCATTCAATCAACCTCTAAACCAACTATATATGTGTGCTTCATTAAGCAACTAAATTGTAAAGTATTTAAAGATTCCCATTGCATTATCCTTTTTGTGACAAATGGGGAAAATGGTTTGGATTAGCTCAACTAGTTTTCTATTAGCAAGAAAATAAATTAAAACTTCAAAAATACCTTAGATAATGAAAATTACAAACAAGTTTACATATTTTTACCTTAGTTGTAGCTCATACTTGAAGGCACGATACAACATAAAATTCGGGTGACTAAAAAATCGATACCACTCTATATCAAATTACAATTTTTTTTTCATTCCTTTTTTTAATTACATAATTTAAAATTAATTTTTACCCATTATTTTTTTAAAGAAAATCGATAAAATTTTCTTAAAATACATGATCTTGAAAAAATATCAATATGTGTACACTATCGTATATGGACAATGTATGAAATAAAAATTATATTGAATTATAAATTAGTAAAAAAATTAAATAATTTAACTAGTGATAAAAATTGATAGGATAAATATAATATTCAAACTCCTAGCTTCTGCTAAAAAAAAGAAAGAAAGAAAGAAAGCACATACTAAATTCCAAGATCCTGCCAAGTAGAATAATACTAAATTCAACACCCTCAAAAATTTTTTTTGATCAAATACCATTTTACCCCAAATTTTTTTACAAATTTAACTTTACCACTTGGATTAGAAGTCTTTCTTTGGACCTTCAATTCCTTTAAACAATAAAGATGTATCTAAATTAGGTAGGAAAACTAAACAGGACACATTGATATTCTTTTGAGAAATTTAAAATGATATGTGAGACTTTTTATTTTTTAAGGGGGCAAAAAGAAAAGTTTTAAAGTTATGATTAAAGTGCCCTTACTTGACATATCCGTTTAGGTCGTCCTTAACTCTCACGTGGTTATTAAGTATGATTCAATGCACGAAAACAACACAATTTGTTACTTAACTTTGTAATATTGTGGTGACGAAGTGCCCTTTCAAATTAATACCTATACCTCAAATCGAACATTAGGGAATTCTCATGGCCACTCTAAGAGATTATTACCTACTGGCCAGTTCTCCAAACAACAAAAAAGTGCCCTTACCTTCCCCTCATGGAAAAAAAAAAAAGAGCAGTTTTCTTTTTAAGAATAAAAATATGGTCAAAAGCTGCCTATGTATCTAACCATAAATGTTGAGCATATCGCGGCAAATCAGATAAAACTTCTCGGGGTTCCAAGTCTCGCCACAAGGAAGCTACAAATCAGCTCACCATCCTCCTTCTCTCTCTCTCTCTCTCTCTCTCTCGGCTTTTTGTAGAGCAGGCCGGCATAGAAGAAATATATTTTTTTTCTTGGTTTTCATTCGGTGGAATTTGCCTAAAAAGTAGAACACCGTGTTCTTTGTTTTTGGTCTGCTCTGTGGCATTTCTCCAGAAAATTAATGGAGGTCCAACGTGGTGCCGAAATGAGGCGAATTCACATCATTTATTTTATCAGCCGAAGGGGTCGTATCGAGCATCCACATCTTGTTCGGGTCCATCATCTCTCTCGCAATGGCGTTCGCCTACGAGGTTCGTTAAATTTAATTTTACGATACAAATAGTAATCTCGTGCACTTAGTCGCATTTTTATATGTACAACTCTCGGTGTGTGTGTACTTTTTGTTTGTGTTTGGGCTAATGAGGTTTGGTTTTTGCCATTAGATGTTAAGCGATGGCTTTCAGAATTGAGAGGGAACGACATGCCAGAATCATTTACTTGGTCATACAAGAGGTAGTCAGATACATTCAATCTACAAGATTAAATTTACTATAGAATTTGTTAGACATTTCAGTATTCAATGACACCACAACAACTAAATGATATTCTTCATTTTTAAATGGGATTTTTAGGGGTGCTATTCAATCCGAGTTCCTCGGTTCGAATAGAACTCGATATGATTCTAAGCTTGAACAATTTTTTAGACTCGGCTCGGGTTCAGTCCGAGTTTGGGTTCGTTTAAAGAATTTTTTAGACTTGTTTATTAAAATATACTCAATAAATTCAGGCTCAAACTCACTAAATTCGGCTAAATTAACCCTCTTAGAGATTTCTTAGTACAAAATTGTTTGTATGTCATTGCAAAGTTGGTTTTCATCAATAATTCTTTGAGGAAGCTTGAATGAGAAGGTAGGTGTAGTACCTCGTGATCTCAAGTTTGAGGTCTCTACTTCCCCCAATAAGTTTGCCTTGGCAAGTGATTGTGAGCATTGTGTTGAATCTCGGGTTTAAATTATTTGTGATTAAGTCGATTTTTTGTTAATCGGAATTTTTTTTTTCACAACTTGAAAGTGGTACGATAAATTATAAAATGTTATATTAAAATTAATCATCATTTTCAATTAATCTTGATTACAGGAAGTACAAGACAGGGTATGTATGGCAAGACTTGCTGGATGAGGATCTAATTACTCCAATCTCGGACAGTGAATACGTCCTTAAAGGATCCGAAATTACCTCCACCACCTCCTTTAACAATGGTAAATAATTTTTTTCTTTTTAGTCAAACAATCAATTTACTTGATTTATTTCACATGATAATGTCAAATCATTTGATTCATATTTCTGGTCTCTTTTTTTTGTTGGTCTAATATTACTTAAAACATTTAATTCTAATACTTTTGAAAAAAAGATTTATACTTTGACCCCTTAACTGTGGACTCAATTTCACTTTATCTATTGAACTATTGTACTTTTTACATTGTCTTCCAAACTATTGATTTTACACCACCCTAAATGTAGACATCCGTCATCTTTTGGACAGAAAATATCAACATGTCTAAGAAAAAGTGTGAGACAACACATAGTTTGGGTGCAGAGGCGAAGCCACCCTTGGGCTGGGTTGGGCACATGCCCGTCAATTTTTTTTCTTTTTTATATAAATATATATTTTTTAAAATAAAATTTAGACATTTAATTATGCCCACCCTAATATTATGTTCTAGCGATATCGATTTAAATAGACCCCTAATTAAATAATTGTTAATTTTTTGAACAATGTTATTGAGACTTAATGTAAGGACCAAATACATTGTAATATTAAGTCTAATAGTTAGTTGCAATATTTAATAAACTTTACTATCTATCCAATGATTACAAACTATTGAATCTCCACCAATTAAATATCAAATTAGGTACAACTAATATTATTGTTAACTTCTAGACACATTTCAGATATGGCTGAATATGTTTTGAATATAATGAGGTTATTTTATAAATTTTTAAAATTATTAAGTTATTTCGTTATCATATAAAAAAGTGTCGTTATTTAATAAATTATAGGATCATAAATAAAAAATTGTTATGGTTTTATATATAAAAGAAATATTATTGATAAAATTGATTTGTAACTCTTTTAAATAATAAAAGTAGTTTTAATTATTTTTTATTTGTTCAAGTTATGCATATCGTTGTTTAATCTATTATGTTTACTGAACTTATAAGTATTAAATATAATTTCAATAAATATGAATTTATGAACTTCTATAGTCAATGAAAAAAAAAATTAAAAGGTGTTAATGTGCCTATCCTAAAAAAATTTCTGACTTTGCCCCTGTTTTGGGGCAAAAAAAAATAATTTTTCTCTCAAATTTGTAATAGACGTTAATAATTAGGATATTCTAAAACTAATAACATATATACTTGAACATGTAATATGATAAATATGATAGTTAAGGAGACAACATGAGAAAAGGGTAATATTTAACGGGGTTAGATTGTAATTTATCCTTTAAGTTGAGGACAAAGTGCAATTTTTGAAATTTATTGCTTCCACAAAACAGATCTGATGTCTGGTGAAAAAAAAATTTCCAAGCAAAAAGAGGCAACACTTAAGGATGAGGCCAAAGGCCACAAAATCTCATCAAAAGAAAGAAATGGAAGACAACCACAAGCTAAAATCGATGTATCAACAAACACACCATGTGAAATTGAAGAAGAATCACCTCCATTCAGCTCGGAAACGTCAACGTTAACCGATGATTCGATAAAGTTCGAAGAAGACAAGGTTTTGAATGACGCAACCAAACAAGAAACAGATGAACATGGAAACAAATTTGACAATAATTCTTCTGCTTTTTATTCAAGTTTTTTGAATAAGAAGAGGAAGAAGAAGAGGAATAGTGTTAATGTGGAGAAGGAAAGTACTCCGGCGGGCTCGTCGACATCGTCGGAAAATTCTTCTTTCATGAGGAGTAAGAGTTATTCCAGTGGAGCTTCTCATATGTTTCGGAATTTGATTACATGTGGGGCTGTGGACACTAATGACTCGGCCATGGTGATGTTCAACCGCCGAAACAGAGCTTCTTTGAGTATTCCGACCGGTGAACGGTGTAGTAACTCGTCGGAGATTGTGAAGAGAGAAACGTTGGGTGGCTCTGAAAGGATCTTTGGGACTCCATGGAACCAACAGCAACATAGTGGCAGGTACTTTAGATTCAAATACATTACTTTGGTTAATTGATTGTTTCTGAAAATATTTTAAATTTTATTTTTTTGAATTTTTTTTAAATATGTCGATAATCAAATCGAAGTTTACGAGTTTGAGCTGAGATCGTCGAACTTGTTTTTCTTAACGATTTTAAAAAATTGTTTAAATTCAACTCGTTTAAAAAATGAGTCAAACTCCAGCCGAGTTCATGTAACTCGATTATTTTACATTTAAGCGAGCCTGCGTCCAACATTTTAGACTTATTTTTCGAAACAAATCTAAAAAATTATTCAAATTTGGTTTATTTAGAACACGAGTCGAGCTCGAGTCAAGTTCCATTTGAACCGAGTCCAAACTACTCGGCTCAATTATCAATCTTATCTTTAAGCTACATATTTATACAATTTTGAGCTACATATTTATACAATTTTGAGGATGAATTTTAGTGCAACGGTAAAACAATTTCATTATGGGTTTTTCATTCTTGGTGGCCCAACAGCCAACTAGGTCATGGGCCACCCTTGTGTCTCACAATACAGTCCATAGCAGACTATTTACCTTTCTGCCCACTAAAATTGACAGATTGGCCCATTAATAAGGCCCACAGAAGACCCATTAGGAGGTGAAACGACGAGCTATTTCAGAATTTACTAAATTCTTGACAAACTACGATCTAAATGTATCGATTATAAATGAAGTAAGTTCACGATCTAGATCATTAAAATATATGATCCTAAATTACACATGTAGTACAAATATAAATATATATTAATTAACTATATATATTAATTTATAATTATATATTATTTTAGATAATAAAAAATTGAGCGCAAACAAAATTAAATGATAACTGACTTAGTGTTTATGAATATTGTATGATATATAATGTTAAATAGTAGTGAAAACAATCTAGATAAGTCTTTCAAAACAAATTACGATTCAAAATACTGTATCAGCTAAGTCTACCCCCATTATTTGTGTAGTATTGCGTACCAAAACGACCCAAGATTCAAATAACATTAGATATGACCCCTCGACAATCCTTACATATCGTTAAAATTGTGTATATATGGTTCTCTTTAATCCAATAGAAGTGTGAGGTTACGAGCCTTTTGAATTGGGATTTTATTTATTTATATGTAATAGATGTATTTAGTATGTATATATCGTAAATATATGAATGTGGTGCAGGAAAAGCTGTGATGGAGTGATGGATGCAAGGAAGAATAAGAAGAGTGAATTCAGCAACGAAAAAACTGCCAACCTTGGGAAAAGGCCAAATTGCTCGTAAGTATTGCAATTATTGCTAGCCAACCAATTCGTCCCTTTAATTTTATGGTTTTAGCGGATGTGCCACTATGACAAGAAATTTTTGTATGGGTTTAACACGCACATAACAATTGACAAGTGGTATACATAATCAATAAAATATTATGTATTCTTAATGAATGATAGACACTTATCGCTTTATTACAATTTTTATAAATAAAAACAACCTTTTTCGCCCCCACAAACTATTTTTGTGGCAATTTTTCATTGGGTGTGCACACCATATGGCATGTCATCTGGAGTGTTAAACATATTCAAATTTTTATTGAATTATCTCCCTTGTTACATACTTAAATTGCACTATGCTCTTGCCAATAATATGATTCTATGAATTAGTAGTGTTTGGAGTTTCGTGTATTAGACAGGTATCAGTATGCAAACTATAATGAGGGTTGTAGCCCATTATAATTTGAACAGAATTCTTCTTGCATAGATATCAGTATGCAAACCCTTTCTGAACTTCTCATTTTTAGTAGAAACAAAATAGTGACTAAAACCACTTGCATATGTGATGCAGGCAGTGTGGGAAGCCATTCAAGCCAGAGAAACTGCCCACACATATGAAGTCCTGCAGGGGAATGAAAGCCTTATCCAAGGATGCAAGACCTGCTACTTCTGCTACCACAGCTGAGAAGACACCACAGACAACAAAGAATTCTTCTCATCAGGACTCAGTTTCTGGCCATTACTTGACCACTAACTGAATGGTAGTCACTTCTTTAATGATTTTTCTTCCTGGATTCTTTGTGAAAGAGCTTTAATATTTTCATAATCTGTTGGTGTTTCTCAATGTAAAGTGACAAAGGGTAGCATAGGCAGAGATGGTCATGGAGGTACAAGATGTTGAATTTGCTTCTCTTTTCTTTACTGTTAGACATGAAGCCTTCAGAACTGAAACTTCAACCATCACCAGACCGAAAAAATGAAAGAAAAAAACAAGCACGTTTGGTTTGCATCTCAAAAAACAATATTCGAAAACTTTTTATGGGAAAAGTTTTAGAAAACTATTTTTGGTGTTTTTTTTATCGCATAACTTATTTGATTATATGATTCCAAAAATAGTTCTACGAAATAGAAAATATTAAAACTTGTTTGGATAGTAACCGAACAAACAATGAAAATAAAAATGCGGTGCTGGTGGTGGTGTTGTAGACTTGGTGATGGAAGTGTGGTAACGGTGGGAGTATGGTGGTGGTGGCGGTGATAGTGGTGGTGTTGTGTGGTGAACGTGGTGTTGTTGGTGGGAGTGTGGTGGTGTTAATGGAAGTGCGGTGGTGTTAATGGAACGGTCATGGTGGGTGGTGGTGGGAGTGTAAATGTGGTGGTGGTGGTGTTTTCTAAATTCCCAAAAATTGTTTCCAAAAATACACAAAACAATTTTAACTTGTCTGAATCTATCCAATTTTTGTTCTTAGTTTTCAAAAAACAAAAATAAAAAACAATTGGTCAAACAACTATTCTTCCAAAAATTATTTTTGAAAACAGAAAACAGTTTCCATCACCTGACTTGCTGCAAAATGATTTTGGCATAGATGGTCTGTAATCTCAACACTACATTTCAAACTACAAATAAAAGAAAGGAAAATTTCATATATCAGGAATTCAGAGAAATATCAGAGGAAAATTTCATATATCAGGAATTCAGAGAAATATCAGGCAGAAGGGAGATAGAACATAAGGAACCACCTTCCCCTGTCCAGAATACACTTTCATGATAAAAGAGATACAAACTAAAGTCATTGGCATTTTACTGCTATCTTGGTTAATGGAAGTTAGAAACACATTTGGAACAATGGTAATGATGTTAGATGATTTCAGGTACATTTGCGACGAAAACTCTCCAACAACAGAGGTTTGTAACTGTATTGCAGTTTAGATCTGCAATTCATATGGATCAGTCCTAAATTATGTTCTCATCTAATGCTGTCAGTCTGTACCTCGTCTAACTACCTACGTGCAACAATGGTGGAGTCAACATGCTCCAGAAGAAATCCATACAACTTATTTTTCAAGCCTTTAATTTTCTCATTAACCGCATTTCCATTCCCAGATGAGTCATCCAACCACTGATTAACCCTTTTAAGTTGCCCAAGAAGGCCTGCAACTTCAGAACCTCCTTCCCCATTCCTCAATCCAAATCCCTTGTTCAAGGAATCCTCCAAATAATTCAAGAACCACGAGCGAGATGCTAAGAGCAGTTTCTCTGCCAAATTGGATGCCTCCCGTAATCCATTTCCCTTAGACCACTCTTCCCTTTCAATGTTTGAGTTTTTTGTGGTTGGAAGACGGCATCTAGAATTAGATGGTAACACCTTTGCACTTGAATTTGTTTTGGAAGCACCACGGTTGGTAGGACTTTGCTTGTTTTGAGGGGAATGGTTCTCGAACTCTATTTTCTTAGGGGTACTTTCTAAGACAACATAATGACATTTGTCACCCTCCGAAACATCCCTCTTGTCTTCCCTTGCGAACAACCAAAACTTGGAAAGATCAGACTGCACCGCAGCTTGCAGCCACGATGTGGAATTTTTATTCACTGTATCTCTAAATGTTTCTGGCAGTGGAGACTGCGAGGCAAAAGCTTCAGGAAACCTGATGCTGAGCAATGCATCAATAACAGCTGCTGCTTTCTGTATACTCTGATGCAAGTCCAAAAATTGTTCAACTAGTGTTCCAGCGGAACCTTGCTGAAAAGACGTACAAAACTCTGCAAACATGCTGGATGTAGGAAAATAAATCATCTTCACTAGTAAACTAGAACAGAAACAAACAAAGGAAAAAAACATCTATTGTCTGTAAGCATTTAATGCAATGGTTACAACATGTATGCCGAGTACATGATCAGTTGTTTCAGAGAAACATATTGGCCAACAAAAATACGGAGAAGCATCGTTCTTGAAAAATGGAACATAAAATGTTTCCATGAGTTTTGTCTTGTTAAAGAGGACACAACAAGTTAGCATGATTTCAGTATGCCAAAGATGACAGAACACCTTACTAATTATTTTCTGACTATTTGAAGATAATGTTATAACATCGTTCCAGAAAAAATGATTTGTGTAATTGTGTCCCAACAGATTCCACAGGCCAAGAAACACGAGCAGACTTGGGACACAGACTGGACGCCAACATGCACAGAAAGTCCTAAAAAATAGAGCACTGATGCGGCAAGGATGTGGCCAGATTACCACTCAAAGAGATTAGGTGCTAAAGGACACGTTGCATAACTTGGTATTGTCATCTCCAAGGCCACAAAATCGACTAGTTGATCTCCTTGAGGGCTATAAGCAACTCAATTGTTGCCCTGGCATGACATTTTTGCAACAACAAACTTCACAGTGAAAAATCACAGGGCTATAAGCTACACTACAACCTACTAAATGAAGTTCAACATCAAGACTGGAGGGGCTGAAAGTATAAAAATATAAATGGTCAACATGAATATTATGACAAGAAAAAGATGAAAGCCCCATGAACTCGACAATTGAAGAAATGTTAATCATACTGTAACTTTTACTTCTGTTATGTACCACAATGTATTAGAAGTGTGTAGTTAATCAGTGACAGAAAGGTGGCTAAGCCACTAAGGTATGATATGATAAGAGCAAAACTACCACTTTGCATACCCAATCATCGAGATTGTAACACCTGACAAGGAAGACCAACCACCTAAACATTGCCAAAATGCCATAATTACACTTCCAAAAACAAAGAATACAAAAGCCCTGTTAGCAGCCATGCTGAGTACACTCGTATTTTGACCTTTTAAAATGATCGTAAAACTAACCACGATTTACTGTAAAATATGCAGATACATTAAGAGAGAAACATGAATAGAAGATGAGTGTCACTCAAATAAAATCTTGCAGCGGAAGAGTGGCAAAAATTAGAATGACTATACCACTACACACACACAAACAGGGAGAGAATCAGTTGCATTAGTTGGATAATGTACAATGGAAATCAGTGACAAAATCGGTGAAAATATTATGGTATTGGAGAATTGCATAATGACAAAACATACATTATAAACTCAAAAATGATTCAGGATACCAAACAACAGATGATATTGTGTTGAATCAAGTAAACATGTCAGGTAAAACCATATTTGCTTAAATATTGTAGTTTGTTGCATGGACAAGCATTACAACAACCACAGCAAAAACAAAGAAGACAATAAGAATATGAGAAGATCAACAGCATACCTCAGGCATCGAATGACACCCTCTGCAGCAGTTGCTTCTTCAAGTGCACTTACAGCAGTAAAAAACGCAACATTTCTATTGCATACAGTTTCCTGAAACACCACCATATTACAAAAATATCAAGATTTTGCTGTACTATATGGATTAACAAGATTTAGCAATAAATGTCTCTCATACCTTTCCAAGTTCCCTCATAGTAGTTGGAAGTGAATCCCAGGAAATCTTCAGGTCAGACCAAGTTCTTGAATTGATGGGAACCTTAATAAGATTACTCGGAATAGCGGCATCAACTGATGACTTCAAATCCTTTTTTACAGGCTTTATAAGCAATTTCTGAGGAACTATTACGTTCTTGTTTTTGAGGGGTGAAAAGCCACAACTTGGATGTTCCGGTGATGAATTCTTCTCAGAAGAAGCCTTCTTATTGGAAAGAACCTTCAAAAGAACAAAAAGAACAATTAACACAACCCCTAAAAAGTCAAACACGAGATGCATATGAAGCATATTTACCAAAGCAAAATTAGTGGCAAACCATAGGTACAACACTTCATTCATTGTTTTGGTCAAGTAAGAAATCTACGGAAATCTATTAGAACCAAAATCTTCGGTAAATTAATCATAGACAACATTAGTTATCTCCTAATAATGAAAGAGTATATTAACTTCGAAGCCTCACAGCTTTATGTTTTTTTCCCTGACAGCTAACAAGGTCTCTTGCTTCTTGATGAATATGGAAATACTGGACAGAGTGTCTGAAGCATACCCTGACTGAAAACTCAAACTTCCAAAACGAAGGGGGAAAGTAGCAAGTGAGAGAGAGGGGTTTTGGGTGAGGATGAGGATGAGGCTTATTTTTTTTCCAGAAGGGCTAAACTTTCAGCCATAAACACTAATAAGGTAACAAACATAAAGCACCAGTTAAAAAAAGTTTCAGGGTCTATGTAAAATGCATAGGATGATGACTACTAGAGTTCAACTGAAGGCAGAAAAAATGCCAAAGTATCTAGAGCAAAAGACACCAGATATAGAGAATGAAAACAGATAACAAACTAAACTAAACTAAACCAAACCAAACCAAGCCTAGCCTAGCCTTATGTCCCAATGATTTGGGTTCGGCTACATGAGTCTGTCTTCAGCATTTTGGTCAGCTCATTTAAGTTAAATAAAACAGAGAACAATAATAGCCCCAAAAAAATCTGGTGAAGAAACAGTTCTAAAGGTATCCAAAATGCGACCCAATAAATGCAGAGCACAGAAACATAATCCAATTATATACAAATCTATCTACAGAATAACAAACTTACAGAATCAGAGTCACAAGAACTGAAACTCTCCTTCAACTTGGACCGCGAAACCGGCCGAACCCCATTCTTAGTCGCCGGACCCCGATCCCAACCCTTTCTCCCAGAATCCAAACTCAACCTCCTCAAATCCAAACCCTCCTCCTTCCCATTCCCCAACGAAAGCCTCCGAGACTTCGACTCTTCACTCACCTTTGGCTTCAGATTTGGATTCGCCTCGACCTTCTTCATCTTCGACTTTGGCTTCACCTTCGAAAAATCAACACGAGTCCTTATTTGCAGCAAATCGCTGGAAATCAAATCCTTCGGATCTCCGACGCATGGCCGCCTATTCGGGACCGGCTTTACACCACGAAGTACTGGAACAGGAGAGCCCGAGTCGAGCCGAGTCACGTGAATGAACTGACCGAGTTGGATTTTATCACTCAGTACCAGGTCTAAGTCTTCTTCTGATACTGATACGTACGCCGAATGAACCGAGTCCGAAACTCTCAGAAAGAACCCTCTGTTTTTCCATGGATCACCATCAACTCCGGCGAGCGACGGCAAAATGCCGATAACCTGCACACAATGAATAAATGGTATGCTTCAAAATCTTGAAACGATGGCTAAAAATGATGATTACCCAGTTCAATAATCGATTATTCCCAGTTCATCGAGCTCTGAGAGACATCAACTGGGTAAAAATCTAACAAAAAGAAACCTGAGTATGGGCATGAAGGGAGGGTATGCTTCAAAATCTTCAAACTATTGCTGAAACTGGTCATTACCCAGTTCGATTATCGATTATTCCCTCTTAATAGAAGGTGCGGAATAGAACAAAGTGACTACCCAGATTCAAACTCATTGAATTGATAAACCGATTATGCTACCTATTCCAAGGGAAAAACGTACCAAAATGTGACAGATTTCTGATACTTGCCTGTAAAAGGGCGGAGCGGTGGTCGCCGGTGACTTTGACGTCCTTGTTTTCTACATTTTGGAGGAGTTTGGACAAAATGCCTGGGGTTAGAGAGGCCATTGTTGTGAGGTATGGAGAAGAAAAGGGTTTGTATGAAGATAAAGGAACTGAGTTAGCAATGTAAATGCTACTGCCACCACCATGGCAGAAGGGGGGAGGGGGGTGGTGGACCGGTGGTGGTACTAGATTGGGGATTTAGTTTAGAAAGTGCTGTGGCATGTGGGTGATGGTGAGGTAAACGAAAAAAGGACGTCGCGTAGCGAATCTCAATATGACATTGGAGAGATCGCTTTCTTGTGATGAGGGGTAAACAAGTGTCGAATAGGGATGTGATGTATGGTGGCAGAGGTGCAGGTAAATGGCAGAGGAGAGAGAGAGAGAGGAAAACGGCGCAGGTTACCAGGTTTACACTGAAAGGAAGCAGACAACTGCCAACGACCTAATGGGGACAGGATTCAAAAGAATAGATTTTTCATGACACCCCTATAGAATAAGATAATTTCAGAGACACCCCTTAGTTTTTTCAAAATGTTACTAACACCACTTATCATTTTTTTTAATCTATGACAAAAGTAACAAAAATTGCACTTTTATCTATCTACTCCTTAACAGATGTCATTATTAATTTATTCACCGTTTTCACATATCTATATAATAAAATCGGAATATATTTGAATTTTATCTCAGTTATATTTTTTTTCTTAAAACCATCACCAATCACTTACCTCACTCATCATTCCTTTGGTCAGACTCAAACGTCAAATCACATCACTCATTTTTATCACATATTTAATTATTTATATATTTCCTCCCTAAAAATATCACACAACTCATTGTTATCATATATTTAATTATTTAATATTTATTTAATTTTTAATTAATATATTTAAATAAAAATTAATATAGTGAAATCGATTTTTTGAACGTTCAAATTTTATAATTTATCATGATTTCAAGCACCCTTTCTCCACCCTTTCTCTCGTGAGTCCGTGACAAAGTATCGCCATCACCACCCACTTTTCTTTCTTTTCATGCATATTTGCTTGGTGATGTTTCCCAAAATTTCATCTCTATATGTCTCTCACTCTATTTAGATATATATCATCCACACCATTGTGACATCGCCCACCTAGCCACCAACCACGTAGCCCACCATTACTCACCTATCGTGGAGGCAACCCCACTTCCTCTCCACTAACACCACCGTGTTATATAACACAAACCACCACCTTTCTCTCTTTCACATACACAAAATCTTGAGCAAATCACTACAATTTTTCTATTTGACTTCACCAAAAACTTTGAGGAAGCCTTAATAATAGTAGGAAGGCATATAATTGTGGTGGCATTTACTTTTGGTTTTAACTCAAAATACTACGAGCTGGTTCAATTTGGTGTTGAAATAACGGTTCAATTTTAAGCCTTTCTTGAATCTAATTATGTACAATTAGGGCACTAATGTTAAATTAAGGTAGTGGTAATTACAATACCGTCTCGAGGTTGGGAGTTCGAGTCTTGGAGTTTCCATTGGGACTTGGTGGTTGGCCGTTATGCTAGCCTAGTTCGGTCTGGTCCCGAAAGGTGTTTCAGGCGCTGTCAGGGGCCTTATGATCCCACTGGTGAAGGTCTATCGGGGGTGGTCGCTGGACTCTCTTCCTTGCCCCCACCCCTTTTTTAAAAAAAAAATGACAATATCGTCTCTCTTTCTCTTAAATTCTCTACCTTCTCTATTAATTGATGAGGTGGTGGGTTAGGGATATGTCGATTGGTGATGTTGTGTGTAATATAGCCTCTAGTGATGCTTTGTGTGTCGTGTGCATTGGCAATTAATATAGAGGGTGAGTTGGTTTTAGGGGAATGAGATTGATTTTATGCTGGTTATGATATAAGTAAGTGCACTACAGAGAGAATGAGAGAAATTGCACTCAAGGCAAACCAAAATAAGTGAATTTTTTGAAAAAAAAAATCCCAAATTTATTCTAATGGCAAATAGGGATTCCATGAGTAGCCAGTTTATGAATGAGATTTTCCATTTTTTGAACTCTTTATTATGTGCATTGTCATCTCTTATAATATTGTGGGTAAGGGTAGTGAATGGTTGGTGCACTATGAATGCTAGTAGAAGTTTCGTGCCTAGAAAAATGAAAAACAAGGAGGAAGGGAGCAGGAAGACAGACTTGGAAAAATATTTGCTAATGTATGCAATTTTTAATGTGTAAGGTTTGAAATGGTAAGGGTAGTTTCTGCAATAGATTTAAGAAGTAAAGGGGAGTTTATAAATACACTAATCTAGAGGGGTGTTTTTTAATTTACCAAATCTTTACGAGGTACTTAACTTTTTCTTTGTGGTGGCAGGATTCACATGGAGGTCAAGCAATGGAGGGATTCCTCAACTCATTTGAAGTTGAAGAATCCGGTCTGGAGTTTAGGACAGCGACAGTGCATCATAGGTATGTTGTAAAGATTTAAGGCTTTGTGGGACCACAAAAAAGAGATAAAAGCACAATAACAATTAAAATTAATTTAATTTAATTTTTATTTTTAATTTTTTTGCTAAAAAATTATAACCTTTTTTAGAGGACCACCCATGTTTGATAATTTATATTAACACACTTTCAATGTGAGACAATTCTCTTAATCCACATCAATCTCTACCTTCTAACTCTCTCATTTGTCTCTTAATTTTTTTTTCGTTTACTTTAATTTTAAATAAATATTGTTATGGAGCGTGCCGGATCAAGTGTCGGATAGGGGTAAGCTACCTGCCACCCACTGGGCGCCCTACTAGGTGAGTCTGCTGGCAGGCCTACTGGACAGACTTTTTATGTACAACTTTATTTAGAAATAATAAATATTTTTATAACCTAATATTTTTGTAAATTATATTTTTAAATTAAAAGAAGAGTCAAAATGAACAAAAAATAAATAATCAATAATTTTATTTATAAATAAGAGAGAAACTGGATTACAATATAATAAATACGTTGACAGCTACTCACCTATCTATCTTTTTCAAATTTAAAATTTAATGTGTCTAACTTTTTTTCAAAGAAGATGGGCGAGTCGTTCGAGATGGGCTGGGCAGGCGTGTTTTTGGATTGGATTTTAACGGATTTTTTTGTGGTCAGTCTATTAGGTCGAGTTTCAGGTCAGATAATGGGTTAGGGATAAGCTCAAACACTCTCTTAAAGTATATTGGGCTTGGGCTCTAGCGGGCTAATTATCGAACCAATTTTTTTTTTGGGTCGAATAACGGGACTCATGGATAATTCGGCCCATAGACACCCCTAAATACTGCACAATAAATACTTAATTTTTGATATTGCGAAGTATCTTTAGGAACATAATTATTATTAGTTTATCAAACATTCCAGCTAAGAAAATTGAATTCCCAATTTGTAAATGCACAAGAAAGGTTAAAATTGATCTAATTTAATTTCATAATATAAAATTCATTTCAAATTTTTTTTACTCAAAAACATAAACTTAACTAATACATTCTCTAATGTGAGACAACCTCTCTCTTTCTTTTACCTCTTTATATTGTCTCTTTGTTCACTTTAATTTTAAATTATAAATTATAATTTTTGACTCAAAATTATATTGAGTCAAAATTTAAATAATTTAACTTGTTATAGAAATAGATAACGTGATAAAAATGAGCGAAAAGTATATATATGGGGATAAGATTCAAACTCTTAAGTCCTAACTCCGTTATTGTACATATCGGGCTTGGGGGGGGGGGGGGGGGGGGGGGATCTTGCCTATGTTAGTGTGAAAAAAATGGGCTTAATGAGATTTTCAATTTTTTTTGGGGGGAGAGGGGTGCGGGGAAGAGAATATTTTGATGATAATTTTGAGCCATGGGATTAAATGAATCTCATGGGTCCTATTTTATTACATAGATTCACACTAGTGAGTGATAGAGTAACTTATATACATTGGGTCTCACTTAAATACATAATGAATTAATCACGAAGAAGAAAAATTGGGGGCACTCATTCCAAAATATATTATTATTGGTTGTTTTTTTTTTTGGGTTAGATTTTATTATCTATCTCAATTCGTTGACATAATTTGTTATTATTTTCAAATTAATAATAAGTTTTAGTATTGAATAAGATCTATTATCAATTCAAAAAATTCAATCATTTTTGTCAAATGATTAAATCTAATCAATATTATTGTGGGATATAGAAACACAAAGTTATCAGCAAACTTGTGGGTATACATATGATTTAAGCCAATTATAGAACTTGCACCAGTAAAGCATACATTAGGATTAGGGGGAGAGAGCTTGTCTGTGTTGAGGCTCAAGTTCGGATAAAAATAGTTACTACAAAAATGATAAAAATACTAACAAAATTTGTAAATTACCCACAAAAATAGTAAATTTTTTTTATTGTAAAAACACCCGCAAAAATGAGAAAAATTAGAGGTACGGTACTAATTTTTTTTTTGGTACCATAGTATTCTCCTTGCTATTAATATATCAACGTAGGCTACTTGGCCTTGATTAAGCAGAGAGATAGATATCAACTTAACAATTCTATGATACATTAGAGTCTATGTTTGTTGTGAAATGTGTTGTGCAGTGGACAATCAACCAAAAAAAAACGTTACTTTTATGTGCACTAAATTTGTGCACCAAAACTTTCATCAAATTAACTGCAGTCATGAGATTAGTGATGAGACCTACTAATCTAATGATTACAAATGATTTGATGTAAATTTTGGAGTATGTTAAAAAATATTCTGCAAACTTGTGTATATAAGGCCATCTCTAGTACTTTTTTAAATCTTTACCCAAATTTGAGTAAAAAAAGAATAAAAAACTTAATTTCGTATAGAGCTCTCTAATAGACAAATCTATTTTTTTACCCAAATCTTTTTTAAAAAATTCTCGTGTCATCCCGATAGCTCTTTTTCCATAAAATTTTCTAGACGTCGGATTTTTTCTTTACCGGTGGTTCCATTAAAGTATCTCTTGTGACCGGTAGTTCCACTGAATGCCTCCCCCTGTACAGTGAATTTTTCTCTTGACTATATATATATATTCCTATATGTACAGCATTTGCGACAAAAAAACGAGAGAGAGAGAGAGAGAGGTCCATCGAAGAACATAGTCAACGTGGAAATAAGAGAAAGAGCAAATTTTTTATAGTTAGATTTTTGAGTCTAAATTTTGAGTTTTCCTTGATTTAGGTTTAGAAAAAGGTCTCCCTTCAGTACCGAAAGTATATTTTTTGGCATTATACCCTAAAATACAATTTTTGAGGGTTAAGTTGTAATTGTATCGTATTTGAGATCGATGCTAACATTTTAATAAAAAAATTAATTAGATTGGTCTCAAACACTTAAATTGTGTAATGGATCCTAATATTTTAGGATCCATAACCTTTTTTTATTGTAAATTGACTAAAAAAATTATAACTTAACCCATAAAAAATAGAATTGTACCTCATTTGGATACTGTAATCTTACCCATAGTTGAAGACTTTGAAAAAATAACTTGTTTTGAGTTGTACAATGTTGTGAATCTTCAATCAAGTCATACGGGATTAGAGTTATTAACTACTACCTATAAATAAATTTTAATCGTGTTTGAAATGCTGATATAGTGAAAATACCGTTTTCATGTGTGTAGATAGGATTTCTAACCAATTATGTAAATCTTGTGTTGTTGTTCTTGATTTTTTTTAGCAATGCTATGTGCGTAAACAATGTACATCAAATCATTGACAATTGTTGGATCAATGAATCTCATAACTAATATAATGATTAATCTCACATATCAAAAAGTTTAGTATGTTGTGTAGGGTGAGTTTAATATTGTAAGAGGTCAAAAAGCTCCATGTAATTTTAAGTGGTAGCCTAAGTAATAATAGAGACGAATTATAAATTTAGATGTCTTAAGTTTGAATCTTGACAATTTCATGGAGTCAGGCCATTAAGGATTTATCCTCATGACTACTCTAACCCCGACATGAATGACTTATTTTTTACCAGATTGGAGAAAAAATTAGTCTAAGCATACATAAAATAGTTTAGATATTCTTGACTTTGAAAAAAAAAAAAATTCTTTATTAGATTATATTAGTAGTTGTGTTTTGTCCCCGTTACCTTCGTTTCTTTTGATTTGGTGATAGGTACTCATCAAAAATGATTTGGTGGGAGAAGGTCTAATAATGTTCCTAGCTTGATGCCTCACCTAACAAATGTTTATCAAATGGCATTTGGGGGGCATCATGGCCAATAGTTCATGCCTTCATAAGCAAAATGATATTTTCATTAATGCAAATTGTACCAATGATCTTTTGAATTCATGGTTGCAATGTAAATCTCATATAAATACGATTACTCATAAACTATGCGCTTTAATTAAAAGATATTATGTGGCTTACAGAACTTAAAGTTGGATGTGTGGAATTACGTCTCGCCACTTATTATTACATAACCAAAAATAATTGTTCATGGATATAATGTGGGTTTATTAGACACCATCTGACTAAATCCCTTTGAACTGGGAATTTGGATGTCAAAACCAAAAGAGTCTAGGGGAAAGGGAAGGTTTTCTGTCATTATGAGTAAGGTAAGAAATCATAATTAGCTTATGTGATAACAGATATGAGTTATAAATTCAGACGTCCTGAATTTGAATTTTGATAATCCTTTGGAGTAAGACAATAAAGGATTTATTCTTCATGAATTCTCTAGTCTCAGTGTGGATAGCCTACCTTTGATAGGACCAAAAAGGGGATTAGTTAATGTGTACATAAGTTAGTCCGGAAACCCATTACCATAAAACCAAAAAAAGAGAAAAGAAAAGAAAGTCACCTACCAAAAATGTGGCAAAAGTTTGCAATTTCCACATTCAAATGATAATAATTTTGTTTAATTTATTTTCATATATATTTCTCTCCCTCCAAAAATCCTTGATCATTTCCTTCTTGTTATATATATATATATATTTGAATATGTTTTCCATAGAACACAAATTTACGAGTTAGTAAAAGTTGGTTACATTCTGATTTAATTTTGTTTATGTTTAACATAGTCAAATATCATATTAAATTCGAGTTTCATTGTATTTTGGAGGCGGCATTTGATGAAAACATATCGAGTTATCAAAATTGATGAAAACAAATATTGTCTATAATAAAACGACTTACTAACGTAGGTTAAAACATTGTAACAAAATATTCTTCTTACATCACATAATTCTAGGAGGGTGTTGGTCGTTTTAGATGTGATATATAGAATGCAATAGACCATCCAAGAAAACTACACTTTACCTCTTAATTAGCCCCAATAAACCACCCCTCTAAATTGCCCACCAAGCAACCTTAAATTTCATTCATTCCCTAGTGGTTAAACCTACGTTTTATTCTTTGCAAGCTCTCTAACTGTCTTTTAGGCTCGAGCTTGGATGTCGAACTTAAATTCTTTCTCAAGTTTGGCTCGATTTTAATTTTATATGAGACCCAACTCTTTTTTTTTTCTTTCTATTTTTTATAACGATCTTGAGTTCAAGTAAATATAAGAAAAAAGACCAATGAGAGTTGAACCCAATAATCTCCAATTAGAAGCATTGTTATTCATTTTGTTATTTTTCACTAGAGAAAATCTCATTTTGTCCTATAAAAGATATAAAAATCTTTAGTTTGTCTCCGAAATAATTAATTTTTACACATTATTCCCTTAAAAAAATAAAAACAGTTCATGTAAACATTTTATTGAAGTAGATTGCAATGTTTTTGGACCATTTGCAATGCTTTTATTTCTTTGAGGGAATAATATGAAAAAATTAATCATTCAAGGGACAACTTCAAGATTTTTGTATCTATTATGCAATTTTTCCTTTTCACTATTAGACATTTATCGAATATTATAGCTAGAAAATAGTATTTTTAACTTATAAAAGTATAACAATAGTCAAGATTAGCCTACTTTTCATCTACTTTGATATAATAGTACATAATTCATCCCATAATTTATTTTTCTGCCCAAAAAATCAACTTATCTGCACGACCCCCTAATGTTAGATAACTCAATCAACACATTTTCTATTGTCAAAGAGTCCCATCAATCTATACATATCTCTCTCTTCATTTTAATTTTAAATTACGTAATTAAAAAATAAATTATTATTTAAAATATAAATATTGCAAGATCAGTTTGATTTTTGATATTATATAGTGTCTTCGGACATAAGATTGTTACTAGTACATCTGTATGTTACTAGAAACGAATGGAACTAAAAATTATCAAGATAAGTGATACATTGCTCGTACTCGACTTGAATAGTGATCAAGTTTCAATATTTGGTTAAATTCGATTCATTTTATACAATATGAACCAGTTTCAACAAACAATCCATAATTCAATAGACCATCCAAGAAAAGGGACACTTCACCTGTTTAAGCTTTAATAAACCACCCCTTTGAATTGGCAACCAAGCAAGCTTACTCAGTTCATCATTCCCACTACCCTAGCCTACTTTTTTATTCTCTCTCCAAACTCTAATTCAGCACCATTGAATGGAAAATGATGAATCAAGTCCAAGCAAACCCCATTATGATATCAGCATGTCAAAGAGAACCAGAAAGCCATTGAATCTCTTTACAGAAACCAACCAATCTCCCCCAAAACCAATCTCTCCGGAGAGAGAAAATCAGGTGATCGGCGTGAAGGAGGAAGAAGAAGAAGAAGAAGAAGAAGAAGAAGAGAAGCCTCCTGGTGCAGGAGCCAATGGACATGAAAATGATCACAAAAGCTTGGAAGAACTGATCAAAAGCAGGAGTTCTCTTGGACAGCATTTTACAGAAGAAGAGAAGAATCTGCAAGTGGTTGTTAAACAGCATGAAGAGAGATTGGAAGGAGCTCAGTTCAAAAGATTGGTGAGTCGTTATGTTAAAGTTTTGAGCCGTTTGGTTAAGATTAAGCAGAATGGTCGTTTGGGGTCCCGGAAAAAGCCAGTTCTCCGGCTATCGACGTAGACGTAGAGGAAGATCAAGCGGATGAGACTTCCTCCAATATGATTCTCTCTCTCCTGTTCTTAATTTTCGCAATTGGCGTTCTACTCTGCTTGCAATATGAATCATGGTGAAAAGATAACATTATTTAGATTTTACGTAAAAATAATAAAAACTATCCAAGCAAAAAGTGCATAGCAAGACTGGAGAACATGTTTAATAAGTGTTAATCAATCTTCGGAGGACAACAATTTGCTTTTTTCAACTCAAGATCCTCTTTTTCAAGCTGACGGAGACAATGTTCTCTCACTTTCTTTATTTTCTCTCAAGATAAGAAAACATCAAGGAACTTGAGAGGGCAATTACACTGTTCACGTGCAATATTTTTCAAGAACTTTAGTACTTTTTAAAAGTATTTTTTAAAAAATTTTATGTACTGTTTTTTTTTTATGCATTTTTCTTGCACATACAGAAATATGTACATAGCTCAACATATAGTAAAATGTTCGTAGATTGATTGCTTTCATTAAAGTTCTTAACCATTTCAGCTCAACGGACATGTCTATTAGATTTTCTATCCTCCTTTTCTATTGTTTGTGTTACATTCCAAATGTTCTCATTCTCCTCTATAAACTTCCTATTCTATCAATTCTCCAATTCTGATCTTTTTACACCTACTCCTACTCCTACTTCTACTCCCCAAACCATCTTAAAACAACAAAAGCTGAAAAAATAGTGTAGTTCAGTCTTTCCTCTTATCTTTTTTTAAATATTTTTCTGGCAAATTTGACCGTAAAATGTAGTTGCTGCTCCTATGTTCTACGCATGAAGTTGATTGCTAATGTTATCTAGAATTCTAACACAGCCAGTTACATGTCATATCTGTAAATACATGAGAATAAATCTGGGAAACCAATTGGTCGATGATGCTGAATTTGAACATTCATGCCCTACGAGATTCATTAACAAGATTGAACTATTAACTTTAGTACGACATATCACTGTTGGCCCAAATACAACCTAAGAGCTTGCTGAACCAAACACAAGGTCGACAATCACAAAATGAACATCTTTATAATCCCAAAAATCATACACAATCGACGTAGGAGATGACCCTAAATAGTCGGAAAGAGAAAAGGTGCGAAAAAATATATAAAAAGGGACTAGAGTGAATTAATCCCCGAGCAAACACTAAATAAGGCTTCAGCTATCAAATCAATTCAGTCTCTATTCAACATTCAACAATAAAGAAGTCAAAACAACCCACAACACTGAAATTTTTTCCCCTTGAATCTGCACAACTTCATCCCTCCAAGCCCCCAAAAGGAAAACGAGGAAAAACAAATAAGAAAAAAATTGAACGCAAAATTATCTAGTTAAAATGAAAACGGATGAAAAGAAGTTTGAATAAAATGGTACATTAAACCATCCCCAGCTCCACTGCCTCCATCCTGGGAACCTAAAATAGGTTAGAACATGACTTAATACCAACACGGGCCTTCGCTGCCAATTTTGCATACCTATTGGAAGTCCCACCATAAAGCAACAAGCATAGTAGCTTGAGATAATTGTCTAATATCTGTGACCCATCTTAAGCCAACCACCATGCAGACGTCACAGGCCAGCAACTCAAGCAAGTGATTATAGGAAATAATCAGGCGTTCTCCGGGTTACATCAGGTTCTCCTCTCCTTGGAGCTGGCTCAAACTGCAAACATGAAGGTGGGAGGGACTTAAAATTAAATGACTACCCTAGTATGCACTAAATAACAGTTCACATCTCACATTCAGTGATAAAATCATCCCAGTGGGTAGTGGTAAAAATAGGCAATAGCGACAGACATTTTGAGGGGAAAAAGTCCTCAAAATAGCCTCCTCGAATTGTTTTAGCTGCCTTAAAAAATGGACTTTGATAGCAAAAGATAGTCAATGCAAAAGGAAATGGTGGGACAAGCACAGGCTGTCATTCTTGTATCACTCAAGATAATTAGGAGTATACCCACATCAGTTGCATTAGATCCAAGGTTTCAGTATCAGATTAAATCATCAGAGAAGCACCATGAGAAAAGCCAGTTACACCTAACAACCTCAACAAAGCTGTAGATATTTGTCAGCACTTGGAGAGGAGAGGTTTGTGTGTGAGAGAGAGAAAGAAAGAGAAAGACCTGGATAAATGTGTGCTCTTTGCAATCATCAACTTCCAGTATAGATGCCATGTTTCCGCAACGGTAACAGTAATTGGGCGCACTAAAAATAGTGACGACCTTTTGTTCCTATTGAACACAACACTCAATTAAGCAAACCTCCATTTCCCTCAACACAAAAACAAAAATCAGAAGTGACTCAATAGTTAGAAACCATAGTACTTACATGTCCCCAGTTAAATCCCTCCATAACCAGCTGATGAGCTCTAGCAATCAGCTTTAGATTGTTGGTATGATTGAATTGCTCAGATATGTCCTTTTTTAGGGGAAAAAGTAATGAAAAAGGAGGGCCATAATGAGTTCACAGAGGAAACAAGAAACTAAACAGGAAACCACAAAGAATTACCTGGCCAAAAGTGTATCCTGCACCACGGGGAGAGATTCCCCAGCCACAACGATCATCTGGATCAGACCATAACAGGTCACACATGGGGCCCTCATGTGGAACTTCTTGAACACGATCAAAGTTTCTTATATTATCAAGGGTTTCAATGGATGGGGACAATCCACCATGCAGACAAAATATTTCGGATTCAACCTAGAATTTGATAAGGACAAGATGACTAAAATAAAATCAATGTAACTCAGATAGTATAAATTAATTTTAAAATTAGCCACTCAAAAAAGGCCTTGCCAAAGTGCACAAGACTCCCACCTTTATTGGGGTATGAAAGAGGTAACTTAATACCGGAGCGGAGTTCAATCATTTGAGTGAACTTTAATAATAGCATGCAAATAGTTAAACAAGAAACAGAACACACTTTTCACCAACAATACCTAGTCACAGCTCATGCCGTTCTGAGGTTGCAGTGCCATACACAATAATTGTGTTAAACAATGACAGTAGTGTTGCTTTTGTTTTTTCTCCTCCAATTTTTTTGTTTGTTCTTTAGTACCAAGTGTTACTCTCCTATTCCAAACAAGAAAGCTAAAAGCCACGTGCTATCTACCAATGCCTCTGCGCAAAGGGAGATCAAGAAACCTACAATTGATGTTTTCTCTAGACCTCATCCACATTTTAACGGGAAACAAACCCCACAGCTATAACTCAATTTCAATGGAATCTCTATGAACAAACAAGGCAAATGAAATAAAATATGAAGGGATACTGAACAAACATTAGATATGTCTATTGGAAAGGAAAGGAAATGCTAATAAAACGAAGGCATTTTTTCATAGCATTTAACCCAACTTTTTCAGAGCATAATCACCTAAATTTTGTTAATAGTTCAAAACTGACCTCACTTAAAAGATCTTATTAACTACTGAACCTACTGGACTTGAATAAAAAATGGATCATTTCTCAATGTAATGACATCAATGGAGAGTGTTGAGAGGGGTGGATTGTCCCCATCCATTAGTTCAAGCCCCACCCTCAAGGTTGTTGGTACAACACTCTTACCCCTGCAAGGCAATGACCCCTTCCACCAGACTCGAATCAAGAATAAAAACTTTGTTTGCAAATTTACCCAATTCCGAATCCCTTGAATATCAGCCAACAATTAAAGCAAAATTTCAACAATTGCCCTTACAATTCATAGAACTCATATTTAACAACAATAAATGGCCTTGTCATATTATGAGGTTCTAGCATATCCCAACATATGAGGTTCTAGCATACACACTCACAGCCTAACCAATCTCATGCAACAAATTCAAATGAATATATTGTAGCCCAAAACAAGGTTTTCAGTTGCTCCATTTTTGGAAATAATGTCTGATTTAGATGTGTAGAAAATCACAAACAAAAACCAGCAAAAAATGCATCAGCTGCACAAAACAACACAATTTCTAAGGAACACTATCTTATCATAATTTAGCATTACTATAAAGAGTGTAGTCTTAGAAGATATCCACAGAATAAGTAAAGGAATTTGCAAAGGTTCTAAAAAGCAACACAAATCACACACATACTAACAAAAAAAAGGTGTCCGCTATTCTGACTAATGTAATTCTCCGGGCCAATACATCATTTTCTTTCTTTGTTAAGTCCTAAAACTTTTACTATTCACTGGTAAAGAACAAAGATCAAATAATATGCATCACGCTTAATTGGAATTAAAAAAAAATTGAACAAAAATAAGCAAAATAAGCATGTATCAAAGGAAAATACAGGGAAATGTGGAAATCCTACTTACCAAAGCAGTTAATGGGAAATAATCAAAAAGATCCGTAAATATCTTCCAGACATTAGCATTGCCGTACCTGTAAAATACGAGGAAGAAGTCTTGGATACCAGCAATGATATGCAAAAAACCACAACTCCAAACAGCCACAACAAACCCAGAAGGCATACGACAGCAGCAGATCACAACATGCAACTGGCCACATGCATAGAAGTCTACCACAAAAATTGATAGAAATAATTGATGGGGCACCTATGGTCCATCCTATGTTGAAGTACGGACGGTTCAGGCATTTTATTTCTCTCCTGGGACAGGGTTGCATAGCGATACCCTGTAGAATGTCCCCGTTGCCATCCCCTTTGCACCAAACTAAGTTACATGGCCTTGGGAGTGGTAACGTTTCCATGTCTCACACAAGCAATCCTCAAAATTTAGGATATCAAGACCCAGTTAAACAAGGTCCAAAACTCATGTATCAGTATGTCCACACACCAGGCATACATATGTCAAAGCTTATAAAGTTTTTGTACTAGCTTAAATTATCAGGCAACATTATGCATGGAGAAAATTAAAAAGAGAGGAGATTCAACAAAAACTATAATAACAGGGCGTCTCTAAACAAATGACAAATATTGGGGACGAATACCAAGTACTAAAAAATCTAACTTGAACTAAAATGAAAAGCATGGATCATCGGCCCTTAGTTTTTCATAAATTCCTAATATATCCCCCCTAAAATTCTATGCTTATCTTCAACAACTGATTTGCTTCAAATACGTGAAAGTTTAAAATGTAGATACTACTTGCCATATGAAGGTCATCCATTTGCTTTTTCAGTCAGTTAAATCCAGAGATCATCAGAGTATTTTCATAAAAACTTTGGGGAAGAAAGTGAAATTAGCAAAATTATGTGCAGGGATCAGGAAATGAACAATAAAACAGAGAGATACATTTGAAACCTCATATAGCACAAGGATGTATGAATGCTGAACTTACTTTCGTAGGCATTCATCATAAAACCCATAGACTTGTGTAATCTGCAAAAGAGTACATTGCATAGCCATAAGCTCGTGGCATTCAACAAAATGATTTTAATCAAGTCAAACAGCCATCTGTAGTATGTTCCAAAAAGCTTGTAATATTATGCTAACTGGAGAATGCAACTTGTAAACCAAAATGGGATCAGAACTACAATATAACAGAGATATTTTCCTGTTTGAACTTGTTTCATTCGTACATACTCAACAACAGGATCAAATATTCCAATGACAGCCCGAACGATAATAGGGTCAGCCAAGCTATAATATCCTCACTGAAGGACAGCTCGATTTAAATTTACTTTATGATACGAAGATCGAGCTCGGCTCAACTCCACTCAACTCACCGTGTGTACACAGAAGCACTCTTGCTTGGCGCTTCACAATGAGATATTTATTTATCAAAAAAAATCCAAAAAAATTAGCAAATAAAGAGGGCATTTTTTCACAAGACAACTTGGAAAGCAGGGCTAATCTGTCACATCATATGACAAGCTTGCAGCATCAAATCATTTGTCTTATTTTCTTAGTTTTTTTCTCATCTGTTTATGTGAGTTTTGTAGTTTGGGTGGGGGTGGTTTTTTTTTTTTAATTGGGGTGGGGTGGGGTGGGGGGACACTATGAATGCTCTTCATAATGCAATTTGATACCATGTGATAAGTAAAATAACTTCATAGCGACATACTTCTCGAATGAGTTGGAGACACAATTTGAGTATTAGATTGCTCAAGGTGGGGTCAGTCAAACAAGCAACAAATTGAAGCACGAGTTCCACTTGTTAAGCCCGCCAATTAGTTTAGTTGAGCCAAGCGACATACTTCTCGAATGGTTGAAAGTCATCGTATCTGTCATCAACTCAAAGGGTTCAAAGACACATCAGTCGGAGCGTTGCATAACGGTATCAGGAGATTCAACCTTAAAGAAGAAGTTGAACATTGCTAGAAATTGAGGTCGCAAGACTCAGATTTTATACATAATGCGAAACGGTATCGACTTAAAGGGTGCCAAGTCAGATATGACTCTGCTGCCGACTCATATCAGTATCGCCGATACTATGAACCTTGGAGCCAAGCTCAAGGTCTCCAAAAATAGGCCTGCCTTACAGCCCTACCAAAGGAACATCATGATTATGGTACTCAGAGGAAGGAATGAAAAGTGAGAAACTAATAATATGCATTACAAAAACTAAACATAAAATGGATAACCATACAAAGAACCAGAACAAGCACATTAATAAAATTCTGCTAGAGCTCCCAGAATGCTTCAGCTCACAGAATATTTTCCTACCCAACGATTTGAGAAAATGAGGCTGATCATTATCATAAAACATGCAAGAAGCACCATGACCACTCAATGCCTATTCAATTTTTGACAAGGGTCAAAAAGTATAAATGAGGAAACTGAATACCTGTCGACTCTCATGATTTCCCCTAAGGATTGTAATCCGCTGTGGATAACGTACTTTCAAGGCCACCAGGAGCTGGATACAACAAGGGTATTAGTATTAACCAAGTGGTCAAAATTTCATTTACATACTATGTGAAGCACGTTGCGCAAAAAAAGGCAAAAATAGCATAAAGGTCATTATGTTACTTTAGCATACAATCATTACATTCTTTTGACTTAGCAAATTGCTGCTCATATCCTATCTTAATGATTATATACTTTACCATTACTTTGAAAACTATGGCATTAAGTCAGTTAAATCTTTTACTCACCAAAAGAAACATTGCAAATGAAATGCAAATGAACAACTATACTGTAAAAGACATTAAAAAACGCATCACTGAGTAAGTTTCAAGCGGGAAAAGGGTATCATCAGCAATATCGACTCCATCCAAACATCATGACAAAGAGAATGAAAGAAGATCAATTTAATTAAGAACTCATACTCCATATAAACGCAAGTATAGTAGTATACCATGTATTTGATGCAGCCAAGGTATGACACAATGCATCAATGAGTATATAGATCATATCAATGCATAAAACCTAAGAAAATACCAGCAGGGCAGAGATTTAGATCAAAACAGTCTCTAATTTATAGAAACCAAAAGAAGAACGGAAAATTGTATCAAGGCCATCCTTTATTATTCATCGCAAAACGGGTCTATGTAAACCTATCTCATTTATCTTTTGGCCTGGTCAAGTAGGTTCTAGAAAGCCTATAGTATTAGAGGGTATCAAAAAGTAAAAGAAATGTAATAGGGTTATGGGAAATCGATGCAATTTGCTACTGGTAATGCTGGCAGATTCTGTATTACCAAAAAATTGGTTACTGCAAATTCAGGACATCTAGTGTTCAAGGTTTTGGGAGTTAAAAAAAAAAAATTCTAGCATTCTGCTATATAAGTTTAGAAGTTGCACGGAAGTCTTTCTTTGCACTGCCCTGTGTAAATAAGTTGAGAGTGCTGTACCATTTTCGATCTTTGGACAACTTGATGTTTGACAAGCATAACAAACATATGTGAAACATTCATAAGGCCAAAAATAGCATGATGAGATATGAGTCCCTAAAAGAAAGGTGGCAAGGGACTTCTATTTAAGAATAAGAATCCTCAAGCTAGCTCCAACTTGATTCTGCATGAACTTTATAATATAAAGCAAGAAAATACCATTCAGTACATTTACTGTTTAAAAGAATACAATTGATAGGCTTGAATCGACTTGTTTGCTAGTCCCAAGTACTTGGCACAAGGTTTCATTGAGTTGAATTGAATTGAGTGATAGTTGCTTTATTAAGCTACAAACCTATCATTTGCATCAACCATTTCAACGTGTTTCTTTATCGTGAATTTTGCAGTGATACATATGTCAGCTAGTATAATCTTGAGCATCATTTTATTTCACATAATGCATATTAACTGCTGTCAGCCCTACCCCAAAAAGGACGTACACTAAACAAAAGGAAAAAAATTTAAATATATGGAAAACACTCAATACCAAACAGGTGACAGTGCATCAATCTTTACAGATGCATATCTGACAATTGCTAGATGGTGTCTTACATGAGCAATTCGATATCCCCATACATTCGTTCGGAGAATTGTTTTTATAGATATATAAATAAACTTCTCCCCAGTAAATATATGATCAAACCGGTATATGTAAATATTCTTTAAAACTAGTTGTTTTTATGAAGAACTTGCCCACAGTATCATTTTCCAGCTTGTACTTACTGTGACAGTTTCAACTGAATAGTAACCCCGATCCACATAATCTCCCATAAATAAGTAGTTTGTATCTGGACACTGCCAATAACAAAATGCAACTTATTAAGAAAGAAAATTGGTATCAGTGCAAGAAAAATTACAAGGAAACCAACAGTCCTAATGTAAATGATGCCTTAGTAAACAACAGCAGGAAAAAAAAAAGTACTGTTTCCAAATTCATGAGTAGAACAGTAGTAGGAAATTGGAAGTTAAAATAGCATTTAAACAGGCTTTTTATTTCTTTCTAGTTAGCTAGATGGATATCCAAATGATCAAAAGACTTTGATCATTGGGTCCAAAAAGATGGCCATGCACTCTGAAAATAAATCTTACCTACTTTTCATAACACTACATCAGATGGTAACAATCATCTAATCTTCATGAAAATTCATGATAAGTAATGCCGAGTATGACCTGAATTCCTGATACAACTGGAAGTCCCTAATTTCGCCATACCACTATATGTGAGTATAGAACCAAAGTTCAGCTTGGAATTGGCTCAATTAAGACCCAATTCTTAATTAAAAACTTGGCAGCTCCAATTTAAAAGGCCAGAATCTGATGACACTGGAACCACCAAATTAGTTTCTCGCATGTTTTGACATTGTTCAGACACAAAATCTTTGTGTAACATTATGTTGGTTCGATTGGAGACTTTAATCCCAAAAAAACTTCTTCTAACCAGGCCACTGACATCAGTTGTCCCATTATTCTGATGAACTACACTGAAGAACACAACTACACAAATTGGAAACAGTTACACCCAGCATCATAGATAAAAGGAGCACACAAAAAACCCCATATATGTTACTTCGAAAATATAGAAGAAATTCTTTTTTAATTTCAATGATTAGATATGCAATGTACAAAATCTAAGTTTGGTCATTGTGCCATTTATTGACTTCTTTTTCCATTTAAAAAGGCGTTATCCAACAGTCTTAGGGTACCCACCTAATATTCCGCCCCACATGCACCTGATGTTTACATGTACATGGTTTCACAAACATCAAAAAAGAAGTATTTGGCATTCAAGCAGTACCTAGTGATCTAGGCCACCTCTCGAGCATTTTGGCTTAGCTGTCTAAACATTGGCCCAATGCCGAGATGAAATCAATTAATGAAATAAGTGTATGTGGCTGAAGTACTTAAACATTTGCATCGTCTGAATTTCCTGATTGTTCCTTGAAGGTTTCCTTATTCTATCTTTGTAGCTTTTCACGTTAACTATGAGAAATTGATGCATCTGTAAAATTTAATTCATCATTTCATTTAGAGGTGGTTCTTTTCCGGTTAGAACAAGAATATTCAAAAAAAAAAAAAATCAGACAGGTGTTTTACTGAGGATGTCTTTCGACGTAAGATAAGTAATGATTTTGTGGTTTAACTTGTGACTAAAAAGAAAGATCTGTGGTTTTTTAAGAATTCAAAAAAAGAAATTTCACATCTTTTTATTTCCATAAGAGCATGCAAGTATGAACACACTGCTCAGCATAAACAGCTACATTTTCAAAATTCATTAAATGCAACCAATCACTTAACTTCATCGCATGACCAAATACACATAAAAGCATCTGTCCAAAGTACCAGTACTAACAACTAATATTCAAAGAATCACTTTATAGCAAGTATGTCAACCATAAACACTAATGACGCAGTAAAGGGTCTAGCACGCTACAATGCAAGTCATTCTCAATTTCTAATGTGCTACTGACCCAAGTGCTTAGGCACAAGTATCGAAGTATATAGAGTACCAAGTTACCGCAGCAATTCTTTCATAGGTATATAATAAGGTCAAAAAGATTTAATCATGAGGACATTTTAGAGTGAAAAACAAATGTAGCTCTAGTAGCATTTCAACCTGCCATGGTATCATAAGACCATAGTTATCAAATCGTGTATCAAAGGTGTATCGTTTTTTAAAAATAGTGTATCATATCGTATCGTATATCGTAAGATACGGTGCAATTTTAAATAATTAATAACAAAATATATATACTTTTGAAAAAAAATCATAGACTCATAAAACCATAACATTTCATTAATATTCCACCTACTATTCAAGTCACCAATACAATTTACTAATATTAAAAAAATAATTAAGGGTATCAAATTAAATTAATGGTACTTATGTATAATTAAAAATAAAAAGTTATAATGTAATAGGGTAATAAATGTAATTGTTCTTTCTTATAACAAAAAAGAAAATCTGCACCGTCGTCTGTAAAACCCACAAACGAACACAGAGACAGAGAGAAGAGGCGAGAGGCGATGCCGGTGCCGGAGATAGAGAGAGAGGAGAAGAAGAAGAAGAAGAAGGCAGCTTCGATGGATGAATAGAGAGGTAGCTTAGATGGAAGAACAGAGAACACCCAGGAGTCGTCATCGAAGGCTAAAGAACACCCAGGCCAGGAATCGAAGACCAGACCAGCGAACACCCAAGCCAGGAGTCGACAACCAGACTAGCGAACACCCAGGCCATGAGTCGAAGACCAAACCAACGAACACCCAGGACCAACGAAGAAGGAAAAGAGGTATTTTTATTTTTTTTGTAAACCCTAGCCACTGACGACGTCGTTCCATTAAAAAAAAAATAGTCTTTGCACGTATCGTATCGTAAAAACGTATCGTGTATCGGACGATACAATACAAAAACGATACAAAACTACGATTCGTATCGTTTTAGCCCTATATCGTGACGTATCGTACGATACTAACAACTATGCATAAGACCACTTCAATCCTCAATGTCACTCCTCGGCCAGTCTCACAATTTACTTTCCCCAGCTCAAACACAAAAATTAGAAAACAAATGTCACAGTGGAAAAAAATACCTTCCCTCCAATCCGAAAAAGTTCAGCTAGATCGTGAAATTGCCCATGAATGTCACCACAAATGGTCACAGGGCTCTTTACAGGCTGCAATGCAGGGAAAAAGAAACAAATTCAACTTTGTGATTCAACAAAACCGAAGTTGTCAGTAAAGAAACAGTAAAATTTTTGGAAGGAATTCCTCAGACAATTATTCCTTTGACAATAATCCTTCTCATCTCCTAGTACATTGATGGGAAGAATGTTCTAAAAAACCTTTCTCAAAAACACAACAGTAGATGGCTATTAAAGAAAGACTGAAAACAATATATGGTAGAACTGCAAGTTGTTTTACTGCGGACAGCTAAAAATTAGCCGACGACCTTAAGACTCAGTCTGGTTACTGACCTTGAATTGGGGATTTGTTCAAAAGTTCTGTGTGTGTGTGTGTGTGTGTGAAATAGTATAAGATCAAAAAAAATTGGAGCATACGTTTAATATTGCATTCATTATATTTGACCACAAAAATAGCAATAATAGAACCCAAAAAGAACTAAACCTCATACCTGAACATTACTTTCTTCCATTAAAATCTCTTTAGCCTTCTCACATAATCCCCTAACCTACATCCACAGGAATAAATATATCATCAGATCCATTTTTACCCTTTTTAGTAGCAATAGAATATAACCAAACATTGTTCCAAAAAAAAAATTCGAAGACAGCATGATAATATATGTTTGATTAGCTCGCTACAATTAAACATCTAAAAAACAGTCAAAATTTATCCTCCTGGATAACAAATATATGCTGTCTGATGAGATTATCATTAGTATACCAACTAAACTTCATCGCTTTAAAAAGGGGAGGATAAAAGTAAAAATAAAAATACAAAAGGGGGGTTTTCTTTAAACAAAAATTAGAGTGATTTACTGGAAAATCGGATAGTGGACAAAAAGAGGCCCCCGTCTGAACCCTAAGAAATATAACTGTCAGGAACCATGTGGTTATATCATTGATTTGTAAGCTCAGAAGCACTCTGAGTCTCCAAGCTTAATGATGCAAGAGCATCCAAGAAGCCTAACAAGGCCGTTCTGGCCCACTAAAAAGTCCTTATGGTCTTGGTCAAATCTACATTTAGTTGTATGTCACACTTTGTTAGTAATGTTGGTAGTAGCTTTGTGTTCTTTATTCAACATTGCCATGTATTCGTTTGGATAGAATCATGTTTCTGCCATGTTGCCCCATCAGCGTTTCTTGTAAGTAGGCAGCACTAGTCTTCTTGTATCCTTACAAGTCCTCCTCTTATCAAGTCATTAGAGCGGCTTACTCATTCTATCTGTAATATATCAAAACTAATGCCTCTCTCAGTCTCTTTAAACCTAGAAACCTTTATCATTCATTTGTCCCTTCAAACTGTTGTGTTTTCTTTCATTAATCAGTTGTTAGCTGCCGATATCTGCTGTTATTTCCTCTGTTTGTGCAACTTATAGTAGTGTTCCAAGTGTAAATCAATGCCATTTTCAAAGTCTGGACAGACACTTTCAAAAAAGGTTCTTTTTATTGGGAGATTTTCATTTATACTCTTTCGTGACAATCTGCAAGCATTTACAAATACATATTTTCTTTACTTATCAATGGAGCATTTAGAAAACCCAAACCAAAAAATGTAGGTTAAATTGAAAGCATGCCATTTGCTGCAAGGAACCAAAATCTTTTGGCTAATAACCATCAATATTTTCATGCATATTTATAATTTCACACCATAGCATATACCAACAACCACAAACTTCAACAATACAAATGAGTAGCCAATATTTTCTTCACTTAGCCCACCAACTCGTCCCACAACATACACTATTCTTACAACTACTTCTGACTAGATCACTATCCCAATAATCAACTCAGGACACCCCAAGAATTAAATAATAACAAATTGAGTTGTCGGGTCTTTCACCACACAAATCTAGGCGAGAACCCCAATACCAAGTACAATTCAAGTCCACTATCGCCTAATATATTCAATAGTCCTCCATATAGATATTGGGTATTTTGTTTGAGTGTGTTTTTGTCATTTCCAATAGGAACGCAAGTACGGAAGCAAAATTAGCCAGATCCAAACAAAATAACGCAATTGAAGAGATTCAATAAGAATAATTTCGGAACAATAATCTAGAGAGATCTGTAAATTCAAACGAACTAAACCTGACAACAACACAAATAAAGATAATACACACACATGCACGCACAGAGAGAGGAGACATCCTGTGCACAGAGAAAGGAGACATCCCGACCATACCTCGGGCTCGGACAAGGGTTTGCACTGCATGAGCTGCGAAATCTGCTCGTCCAGATTGCCATGTGTGTTCGAAGCCACCAGATCCACACTCATCGTTTTCCTCTTCTATAATTGTACGTGCTCTCGTTTGATGCAACAGCGCTCTCTGTATTGAATCGATTCAAGAAAATGGTGTATGAATCTTGAAACCCCAACCCTAGATTGTGGGCACTGTGTATAGGAAAAAGAGGAAGGGGAGAGAGAGCCCGCAAGAGTGCGAGTGAACGATGGTTAGCCAGAGCGAGAGAAAGCCCTCGTAAACCGGCGATCTACTTTTTATCGATCGTGTTAAAATTAAGGGTTAATGGCCCTTTGCCTACCCAACTTTATAAAAATCAAAAAATCTCCCCCCAATACTAATGGTTTTATTGCATTACACCTTCAGCTTGCAATCGTTATTTTTCAGAAGATACAAAAATTCCTCTCTCCCTCTCTTCTAAAACTTTTTTATATTTCACCACCACGGGAATCGTGTTAAAAAATATTTTATTTATACCCTATTCGTTTATTAATTCGTGTTTAACGAATTTTGTCATATCGAATTTGTATCGGGATATGAATCGTGTGTAACTAGTATATAAATAAATAGTGTCGTGTATTTCTTTTAATTGACTTCACTCATACCCGTTTCGTTTATTAATTATGCCGGATCGAATTTACTCGTTTACTAAACAGGTGGTTTAAAAAATAATTAAATCATTTAATTTTATATCGTGTTAACAAATTATATCATATTTTAATACCCTTATCATCATCGACACTAGTCACACACTTTATGCTCTTCTCTAGATATACAGAAACCTCACTTGAAATCTAAATCAAAGTAAGACATAGGTGTCTATATTTTTTAGTGGTTTTCAAATTGGATTATCTTCTTTGTCTTTATTTATTATATTGAATATTTTGATAGTTTGCATCTTAGTTCGTCGTCTACAAAACATTATTGGAGCAAGCGATTATCATAGGTTCGAACCTATAAACCAACTAGTAATAAAGCAATTAAGTAATCCATTAGATAAAACCCTTAATTACATTTTTATTTAGGGCAAATCTCCTGTTGGCCTAAATGGTGATCCAATTTTGCCTAGATACTCGTATGTATCAATGTATGTCAGTCTATGGATAGGATTTAGATCAGATTTTTACTGATTCAAATCTAATCTGATAATCTGACAGATTTTATTTTTGTGATTCATATTTGAATCCGTTAACCATTCGATTCAATGCAAATAACTTAGTTTTAACTAAATTTTAATAAATTACATCTAATTTTTTACTTATTCTTTTCAAATAATCACTTAATTTCTTTAATATTTATACAAAAATATATAAATATTTTGAATTGGATATAAGTATATCCAAATCCGAATCCATGAAATATAAGATATCAGATTCGAATAATCAATTAAAAATATCAATACATATCCCGCTAATCAGGTTAGAATCAAATTCAAAATAAAAATTTGATTCATTGACGGACTTAATGTTGATTTTATATGTATCCTTGCCATCATTTTGGATGTTGGTGTGGCCTACATTTATGTAAGGAGAAAGAGGTAAGTGATGTACATTCTCAACATTTTTTTTGTTTGGGGGGGAGTAGTTGAATGTTGTATGTGGGTTGCTTGGGGTGTGTCTGAGGAGTGGATGTCTTATTCTGGGGATGACTTACAAAAAGTAACTGAACGTATTTTTGTACAATAGCTCAAATGTCTCTGGTGGACCATTTTTTCCATTGAGAAGATTTGAGGAAATCTTCTCTAGGGACTCTTCTCTTTTGTTGCTATTCTCCTACGGATGATACCCTTTCATCATCAATATCTTTGGTTTATAATAGCTAATGTTACGACAGGACATATGGGCCAAGGGACAGTCTCAAATAGATAGTTTCTACGAGAGTAGGCCTCCCAAAATGGTCACAGAGGCGTGCAAAGGCAGTAGGACAAAGTCTGCTGGCCCTAAAACACTACAGAGTTGCATAACATAGTTTCAATAGTAGATTTGGCCACTGCTAAATGTAATACTAATAACATCTACCACAAGCTGCAGTTTATCTGGAAAAAAATGAATTTCTTATTGATTGTGCACATCTAGAGACGGGACTAACAGAGCAGGTGCAAAATTCACTCACAAGTCACAAACACTGAAGGTAAATTAGCAGTCTAGTTCCTGAGTTAAACCATGAACAGCGAAATTCGAAAATTCAAGCTACAACTTTAAGAACTTTCTCTGTGCAGACAATCTAACCAAGATAATCCATCGCTGAAATACATACATCAGTTGAAATTTAAAATGTACACCGTAACTTTTCCTTTAAATCTACGAAATTGTGTACACTTGTGTATACTACAAAGACGTATGAAAATGAGATACAATATCAAGATTGTATGCTGTAGAGACTTCTGCAGGGGTGCCAGCATTCATATTGAAAAAATAAAATAAAAAAAATCGTGGCACAGAATATTTTCTAAGTTGACTTGGTTAACCAGGAGGTCTCCACCCCTGTTATTACTCTTATGCCGAGTAAACAAGTCACAGGGCCAGACCTCTTGGCTTTAGATACGTGTCTGAAGAATGGCAATTGCTATGTCATATAAGGGTTGATTCTACAGAAATTAGTTTCCTATGTAAACTATGCCAATAAGGGCTCCATTAAAGGTTTTGAAGTAGAAGTGTGGAGATTCATCGTGGAAGTAATCACCACGCCAAGAAGTGAACAAACTGCTGGAACGAGACCCAATCCTAATCTTGTGACTGAAAAACAAAGAAACTTGTAATTACATCCCTCAAGGTATGTAGAGGAACCTGCACAAAAGTGAAGCGTGTCAAGTGAAAAATTTTGGTTCATGAACCAAAAATCAACTCATCAGGATGAGATAACTACATGTTTAGTAGAAACAAATAAATGAAAAGACATACAACTAATTTCCAACGAACAAGTTTTTTGAACATGACCCAGCACGCAGAAAGAACTTCATGTACAAAATCCCACATTCAAGTGGGTAACACCAAAGCAAAAATGAAAAATCTATAAGCAATGAAATGGTATGATTAATCTGGTCAATCACATTTGGAGGTTGTTTTTGGATACGACTACATATGTCAAGAATTGCAGATACAGTTTCCAACAGAACTCCACAACAGTCCAGAAACACACACCCAGTATTAAACCCAGAAGTTTTGAGTTTGTGAAACATTAAATGGCAGCATGACATACTCTGATATGACTCAATAATGTATAATGCCACCCCGCATAAGACTTTGTCCAAAAAACTCAGTGATCCATAAACAAAAGCACAGCCATTGAGATCTTCACCAACTAGAACACTTTGCATGCCCACTCCAGTCACCTGTTACTCCAAAAACTTCAAATCAGCAACTGTAAGCTAAGGTTAATGAAAACATGATTAAATAAGTAAATAACAAGCACATGGAGACACAGATGATTCATAGTTTCCTAGTGCCAATTTAATCACTTCATATTTAATTTAGTTCCTTTATATGTTACTAGACTGTTCTCCACAGAACACTATCTTTTATAACAGGCACGACGCTTGACCTGAGTGGCTAATTTTGATACTAACCCAGACGTTAATTCCTGCACAAAACTAGAACATTATCCCAATTGCTAGACTTTGTTAATATATCTGCTGTCATAATAAAAATCACAAAATTTAATAAGAGAATCTCCGAAGTCATAACTGTTGCAAAAGCAGTCACCATGCACATACTCTTGTTCAAACTTCATCCACTTTACAAATTTTAGTAAGAACCATATTTGACATAAGTTGGTTGGTTGAACCGTGCCTTGAGATGGACATAATGAACCAAAGTGACATAGACCTTTACACCGCACAGAATTCAGTACATATCAAGACCGGTTTTTGTAACGTACCGTCATTAGAGCATTTGCTATGCCAATAAATATTGAAAAAATGTACATGAAAGCACTCATGCTTTTTGGTAAAAAGAGGATCCCTGCACCGCAAAATGTCCAAAGAACACCTCCAGCAGAATAAAAGGCCTTCAGGCGTTTGCCGGTCCATGTTATCTCCTATAACGTATATACCTTAACGTGAATAGGAGAAACAAATTTTTAAAAAAGGAATATTTAAAAAAATAAATAAATAAAAAGAGACCTGAAGAAGGATGGAGACAATGAAGCTGCAGATATAGATGATGGCAGGAACCTAGCCAAAAGGGTTAACCGTGATTACATGCAACCATTAAAATTTTCTCACAATAGAGGCAGCATGCTTAAAAAACTCAATGTCAACAAGGTTAGTGAAAGCACCAATGCTTTGGAAGATTGACCCATCTTAAGATCGTTAATGGCATAGAATGCAAGAAGTGCCTGAGACAAAGAAAAGAATAAAAACTAAAGAGAAGCAAAAGGAAATAAATAAGCCATCTTGATGTAGAAACTAATGGGAGTATTGTAACTAGAGCTCAATCAAGCATGTCCCTGTTAGTTTGAGCAAATCAGGGTGTTGCCCGAATATTCTCAATTGTGAATCATTTGTGATTGTGTAAGGGAATATATTCCATTTAGAGAATTAAGCGCTGACCTGTGACACATTCGTAACTAGTCTGGTGAGCACATATGCAAGAGAAACTTGGTAGTATAGAACTTTCTTAAACCAGTAAGTCCAAGAGATTCTTGTGTAAGTTTTGTGGTCAGCCACCTGCTTCAATCTACACAAGAATGTAGATGATTTCTGTAATCAGGTAGCTGTCTGAATGGCAGAAATCAATATTTAAGTGAACAAAATAATGGCAAAAGCCACCAATTATGCATGATATCAAGTGCCCACACCCCTTAACTAGCTGCCTGGACCAGGATTGATTTCTGAGTGGACAAAAAATGGAAAAGCCATTGATTTATGCATGATATCAAGTGCATAACGCCATAACAGTTTAAAAATTATTGAAAATTCAAGAATAGGTATGTTGGTGCTACATTTTTGGCACGGCAAGTTTTTCAGCAATTGATTTAACAGAAATACCACCCAACTTTCTTTGCTGGCCTAACTTCAAGAAAATATGATTTCCTTTACCATTGGATCTCAATGGAGAACAAAATGCTTCTCCTCTTTAAGCAAACAAAGTAGGAAAAGAAAATGGACTCAGTTATCAAGTCAAAACTTACTTAAAACCAATAATAGGTCAGATAATCAAATTTTAACACCACAATCTCAATAATTGCATGGAAAAATAAGAATGCGGTGGGCAAACCTTGGCTCCTTGGTCCCGATATGAAATATGCCCACAAAGCAACATCCAATGAATATGGATGAATATGCTATCCATCGGTACTGTTCATTCATGAAGAAAGTAAGATCACACCCAAAATTAAATTCTTAAATCACTAGGAGAACGTTATTCAGATCAAGATACCTGACTTTCAACATCAACTGGCATCTCTGACGAGCTAAAATTGAAGATTATTAGAGCAACTCCATATAAGCTGAGGTTGGCAGCCTTCAAAAAGTCATGGGTCAGAAGAGGAGAGTAACATAGTGATATGTTTCATATTCAGATTTCTAACCATTGTGAAAGCATTGCGACAGCTAGCCAAAACTACTCTGCTTGTCGGATTCAGTGTGATGCAATTCACCATAGACCTGCAATGGACAGATAATAAATTATTGATTCATGACGATAAGACATAAGTGTATTTTGGTCTCAGGTTTATGATGGAGGCTGCAGAGGAAACGGGTGAACCATAGGTGAACCAATGTCTTGGTGTACATACCAATCACAGTTATTCAACTTATCTCGATTGCAAAACGAAAAACTCTTAAATGTGCAAAACGAAAAAAAATAACGTTGAATAATGAAGACACTGAAATAAAGAAATCCAAACAAAAACTCTTAAAGTTTGCATAGTTGAATAATGAAGATACTCTGATACTCTTTGACACTGAAATTGATGCATGAAAAGCAGAAAAGATTGATAATGAAGACACGTTAAATCACGAGTGCAAAATAATATAATCTGTCTACTGTTGGAAATGTCATTTCAATCTTTGGTGAAGTCCCTGCCAGATAAAACTGGAGAAGGATGTGTATTCCATTGACTGAAATTACCACTAGAAAACAGCATCTTCGTTGAGAACGGTACACATGAACAATGTTTGAATAACATCATAGAAAATCCATATTAGTCAATTACGGTGGTGGGAAAATTATATTGGATTCAAAATATAGAACCAGACTTAGCATCATTTGCACAAAGTGGCTGCGCTGTTAGCCCAAGCTTTTACCACTGCATCATGCAATGGCTCCTACCATAAAAAAATCAATGACACAAAAAAAAATAGCCCCACTGATGAGTAAAGTATTACTACTCGGTCTGCTTATTTCTCCTAATATTAAAAAATATATAGCACAGAGTATGGGACAAAGTAAATCATTACATGTGTGAAACTTGAGTAGCAGCCCAGCCAATATTGAAGATAGCTGCAAACGTACTATATCCAATTGTTTGCAGAGATGATGAATTGGAGCCAAGAATTTTGCAAGGTAGGCAACCGCCAAAAACAGAAGAAAATGAAACGGCAACCACAGCAGATCCTGCACCGTGCCATATTTTGAAATGTCCAAACCTGTCTATCTATCAGGTGAAGGAATACATAGTTAGTTCAATCACACAAATGTCTCTCATTTACTGGCAATCAAGGAAAAAATAATTAAACAATACGAAACATTGATTCCAGGTAAATAGAGATGTACATAAATTAAAGTGAAGCTCTGATCAATCAAAACAAGTGCTCCTCTAGTAAAAGACCTCAAGTGTTAACCAATATCTGCTCCTGGCATTGTCTCATGCCCTCCTTCCTCCACCACATAATATGAACATCAAGAAGCAAGTAACTGGGTTAGAGAACTGTGTCAGGGTGCCATTGCTTGGTATAGCAACAGAAGCTTGGGTTGCCAAGAATAATCACATAGGGTTCGAGTTTGAGAGAATACAATCCACCCTGTAACAGCCTCACATTGGGGGACAAAACACCTATCAATGGTCTATTTAGTTTGGTTTGGTCTTCTTCTAGTCCATCCCTCAACCCCTGCATGGGTAAAACCAGTATTGAGTAGCGAGCATTCTTAGATTTGTTTCATGTCTCAGAATACTCAGATAGCAATTGGAATGGCTGGAAACATTAGAGTGGGATACACTAATGGACAAAATTGTCAATTGAAAGAAGTTTCATTCTGTTTGGTTGTTGCAAGATTGAAAGGACAAATTGAAATAAACACTCTACTATGCAAGCTTTTGGTCACATGAGATCGACCATTTCCTCCAGACTAAAGCTGAAACTACCTATTTTGTTGTACAATGAAATTCACAGAAAATTACCAAACAATTAACCTTAAAAACATTTATGCTTCTGTGACAGTTTGACAATTGAGCAAATCACTGAAGTATGAACACAGCAATACAATTGCACAAATAAAAAGTCTGCAAGAGAAACGAAATACAACAGACAGTCTACGTACCAACATAGACTGTCACTGAAGCATGAACACAGCAATACAATTGCACAAATAAAAAGTCTGCAAGAGAAACGAAATACAACAGACAGTCTACGTACCAACGAACTATTGCGACCATAAATATAGTGGGGTTAAGTGAAAGACTCGTAATAAGGTTCTTCTATGTAACAAGAAATGCAAAATATGTCAAAATGCTTCTAAATAAAATGAATGAATATATAGCATATATGGTTCTAAAGGTACCAGTTCACCAGCAAATATAGTTGCAAATCCATCAGCTATCTGACCAGAAAACATGACAGCAGCAGCATTGCTGTGAAATACAAAGGGCAACAAACAGAACTCAATATGCAGATCTAAAATACGGCAACATATCAGAAAAGCTGAAAATCAAGTATCAGTGAAGGGCAAAGAGGTGTAGAAGTTTCAGTCGGCCAAAAATATAAATAAGAAAAAACCATCAAAATTAATATTGTAACTACAGAAACATTAAAATTCGTCAATGAAAACTGACATCATTATACTATAATGTCTCAGCCCAACTGCATGTGATATTGTCTATTTTGGGTTGCCTCTCATGACTTTCAAATGACAGCGATTTTGCATATAAAGCATAGAGACCTCACTCCCTCCCAAGACCTCTTGGACGGACGGACTTTCACCTGTCACAATCCACCCCTTAAAGGCCATACGTCCCTGTGTGGACCTGCTCAAACTCCTCAAGCTGGTCCCATATGGGACCCACCTGAGCATGTCACCCTATTGAGAGCCCGTCCTAACTAGTCCCCAAGCACGTTTCCCCATGGGAACTGTCCAAGCACATCTCTCTCTGGGGCCCACCCCACCACCACGAAGTACGTTGGGATCTGATACCACCTATAACATCCCATCGCAATTGCATACATATTGTCTATATGGAGTTGTCGTTAAAACTTTCAAAAATATAGCACAACAACCTTTTCTAGCCGGACAATGTGGGACAAGTTCATGGACCAAGTACCTCAGTAACTTTCTCATCTCACCCTTGCTCAGGGACCCTTGGCCTGTTGGACAACTGGACTTTCAGTTGTCACATAAACCAATAAACTGCGATAGTTTATTACAGAAAAAGACCCAACAACATAAACCTGGGATTGTGAGAGTCCGTTCTGCAAATAGACAAGTTATAATACCCAACAAGATCAACACTAAATGAAAATGTTAGTCGGAAGTGCGCTAAAATAAGAAAATAACTTATGAGCAAAAATTGTTTAATTTTTCAGAATATGAAGATCTAAATTCATCACCAATATATAATTCTATCATTTTGCAAGACATTGGATCCTATTGGCATTTTTCTTGCCCATAAATCACAGATGAAGTTCTAATACACTCAAAAAGGTTCTACCTTCAACCATGATGGGATAGCGGATGTTGAAGCATGTAAGGAAGAGCAAACCACACCAGTATTTTTTTCCTTATGGGAGAGAGAGTGCCTGCACTCTAGTGGGGAGGAAAATTGTTTGAATATGAGGACCATGAAACAAGTTAATGTGCATTGAAGTTAGAGGTGACAAGAAAACTCTCATATCTTGAACATGAATAGCTAGAGCCATGAATTTCGGAATATTAAAAAGGTAAATACTCTTTTCGTCGCTTTTTTTATGTCTGCCTGACGACTGATGTGAATATTTTGAAATGGAGATGTTCGCCTTTTGTAACAAGTGGACTGACGGTATCAATCAATATTATAGAGTTGCAGCGCCCACGAATTATCAAAGCTTAAATCCATGCCTGCAATGGCATGATAACAGCTGCAAAACTTCAACCCTACCAAATTGTGCATCCAATGTCTCCTGAACCTTGCTGTAGGTTCCATCCATAGCATAAATTTTTAAATGGCAATATTGCACCTAAATTGAGTACAGCTGACATGTCAAAGCTTGAAGATGACTTCTAAGCAAGGCTGTTTAGCCATCCTAACTAATGTAGATTGGAAGCCCCAGAAAGTAGAACCACAGCACCTACTATTGCACCTTCCTTTTTTTTTCTTTTTTTTTCTCCCCAGGCTAGCGATGCATGAAGCATCGCCCAAAGGCCCCAGTAGTGCACGCTCCTGTTATGGCCTTCAGAGGCAATATGCCATGGATTCAGTTGACTTGAAGCCAAAAGGCTAATACCCAATATTGCACCTTAATGTGAGAAGTCAGCCACCTAATATATTGGAGGTATGCCCTACTTGAAACCACTAAAAGACAGTCATTCTAGAAATACCACAAATTTCAACCGACTACATCCTAGGCCTTACTGCGTTAAAGTGTCCTCCAATCATATTGTTACATAACCCGATAGAAAATTTAATGAAAACTTCTGCTGAATCAACATTGCAAAGTGGTCATCTATTAGCATTGAAGATAGCCTAACTCTGAATGGATGACTCCATTTTATGACAAAGTAATTAGGATTGCTAAAACGCAGTTCCAACTTCCAAGGATGGCATTTATTAGCATAGTTACAAATAGTTCATAGTGGGAGCCAAGACATCTAAAAAACACCCCATTCATTTTTTATCTTTTTGTTCTCATTGCCATTCATTTTGCACCAAAGACATTGCTATGTAATCTCTTCACATTGTTGCTTAAATGTCTATCATATTTCCTAATGCAACCTTATTTACGAAAGCAACAAACCATAATTTCTATTCATATATCTTTATTCTTGTGAAAACTTTCACATTCAGATTCAAATTATACAACAATAGAAAAGGAACTAATAAATTCAAAAGAAAGCTATAAATAACACCAAATTAGATATCAAGTAATAAGAATGAACCTGGGGGCCAGTCCGATATCCGTCAAGAACACTAAGAGATAAGTAAACCAACAGGCTGATGTTATGTCATTGAGCATGTGTCCCACACCATAATATAAGATAGAGCGCCTTTGAAGGGGTTTGGAGCAAGATTGTTCATCTCCCATACCATCGACCATCACACGAAGTGACCAAGTAAAACTTTGGATTTCACGATCAATGAAACCCTGCAAAGTAACAATTTGTCAATTGAAGATTCAAAAACGTAAGCACATTTTACGAATTATACGCAACAATTTGATTCACAGAGTATTGCAACCATGCAACAACACTATATCATAAACCAATAAACTTCTTGTTAGACTAAATCAATGTTACCCAAATCGTGAATCAATTTGATACTTGATATTGAATACGTGATAGGTTTTATAGCAATTCATTTTGACTCTCTTGTATTGATCTCTTTCACTACTATACAAAATCATATATAATAATACATCCATAAACATAGTCCATAACTATTTAGTTTACATTAGTGCCCGAATTCCTATTGTATAAAATTTTATATCCACACACACTAAGTCAATTAATATTCATTTTATACTTGTGATACATGTTTCAAAGCAAATGATTTAGGATTAATATTATAATTTGAGGTCGAACATTTAAGGGATTTGGATCGCGAACCCACCCCATTTGGTCGTTAGAGGTTTATCAATTTCTGGTAACTCTGTGCTAAATACAAGAAGGTCCAGTTAATCTATAAATCGTTCTGAACTAACCTATGAATTCTTTTGCTGCAATCTGCCAATATGGTTTCTATTGATTGAGGAATCTACAAGCAGTTTTATTCCTGATAACCCTATTGCAACTTTTCCCTAAATTTATCAAAAGAGAGTCACAACTCAAAGGAAAACAGGCATCTATGAAGGGTTTGAAAGCTGCAATGGTGGATGAGTTGTGACAACAGTCCTTTATTCGGTAAGCATACCATATCTCCAACTGATGTAGCCTGTATTTATCTCTTATAATCCAAAATTGCCGAACCATCTGAAAGAACCCAAAAAATTCACTATTTATTTTGCTCAAAATCAACAATCAGATTTTCTTGATTCCTAATTGTTCCAGATACAATTGACATTACACCCGCATCAGAATTTCCTAATCCTGAACTTCCCCCACGAACAAAACCATCATAAATCCACCTCCCGAAAAAAATCACCACAAATACTGGAAGTTTTCATATTGGGCAAAAGATACAAAATTCCGCTCAAAGCAAGGATTCATCAAATTGTGGAAAGAAATCCAAAAATATCTTTCTCCCCACTTCTTCAAAATCACCCCTAATTAACTACACACTTCTCATCAATTACCCACAAAAAAACTGAAATAAAATAAGTAACAGAACTTGAAATAAAAGAAATGCAAAGTTCAAAGCCAGAAACATCACGAACCCTTAACAACTGATACGTTATAACCAACAATAATAACTTAACAGCAAAGGGCGGCTCTACAAACACACACACACACACAATATATATATATGTATGTATGTGTATGTACGAATATGATTTTCAGAAGAAATTGGCATTCAATGACCAAAAAAAAGAAGAAATTGGCATTCAAAGAGAAACCCATCCACTTACTTGGGCAGAAGTCTTACCTTGGACTCAGACACAAACAACGAGAGAGAAAGAGACTTGATGACTTCTGAGGTTGAGGGTCCAGCTCTCTCGCTCTCTCCCCCTCTCTCTCTCACACACACACACACGTTACATGCAGACATATGCGTCACCAATCTTGCTTTCTTTGCAAGATTGCTTTGAAACTGGAACCAATCAACCAATGCGTTGATAGGACCTCCAACTATAAAAGTAGAGCGAAAAGACTATTTGGTCCTCAATGAATAAAATGTGCAGCGACAAAATTAATGTGTCGTTCGGTAACTATTAGCTTTTATTTTTGTTTTTATTTTATGACCAAAAAAAAATGTATTTGGTGAATATTTTAATTTTTTTTAATTGCTATGTTTTGAAAAAAAAGGCTAAAATATAAAATCATCCAAAATAATATTTTTGAAAACATCAAAAATAAAAACAAACACGTGTAGTAAAAAGGGATTAAATGAGGTTTTGGCTTCGATCCACGTTAACAACAAAAAATATTTTTTTTTGCTTGAATATAAAAGGCCCTTCCCTGTTTCACCCCTCTCTGTCGTCTCTCACTGTTGTCTCTCTCTTTCTCTCTCTCAACGTCGAAGTCGAAGTCGAAGCCATCGCCAATCGCTGCGAAGAAACTCTCAAATTTAGAAGTCATTACTCCATCTCCAAGGTCAGATTTCACTCCATCACCATCGAGCTCTTTCTGTAATTCCAAGCCCTAGATCTATACCTCCAAACCCTAGATGTGTGTGTGTGTGTGTGAGGGAGAAAGAGAGAGAGAGATCAGGGGCTTTGGGGGGTGGGTTTCAGGGGTGCTGAGTGGTTGCTGGTGTGCGAGGGTTCGAGGGTGATGGGTTTTAGTGGTGAGTAATGTTTCGGTTGGGTTTTGGTGATGGTTAGGTGGCTGGTTTGTGGTGGTTGTAGATTTTGGGTGTGGGTGGTTGGTGGTTTTAAGTTTTGGGTGCGGGGTGGTTAGTGGTGGTGATGAGGTATAGATTTTCTGCATAATATCAAACATATTTTTTTTTTTTTATTTTCATAATTGTTTAAGAGTAAATGACTACCAACACATGTTATAAAATATGTATGTATGTATATATATATATATATATATATATATATATATATATATATATATATATATATATATTTATTTATTTATTTTTTTTATTATAAAAAAAAATAGTTTTGTTTTTTTATTAAAAAATATAAAAATAAAAATATTACCAAATACACCATAAATTAATAATCATCAGAGAATTCTACGTCGCGAAAAATTTAGAAATAAATCTGAATATCTAAAAAAAAATAAAAGGAAAAATTTTAGTCACATTCTTTTTAGTTTATTATATTTTTTAAAGATATCCTCTCTATTATTCAAAATACTGTTGATACTCCTTCTAGTTTATTTTTAAAAATCACTTACACGTCTTACCCTTAAAACCACCATTTCTAATATAAAAAATTTATCTAAAATATTAAAATTACTCCTACATAAATCTCAAACAATTTTTTTGCATAAAATTCAAGTCAATTGAAATTTATTTTTTTACATATTAAAATTTGAATTGATTAAAATTTATTTTTTTAAATATTAAAATTCGATTTGAACTGATTAAATTTAATTTTTTTATGTATTAAAATTTGAGTCAATTTGAGCTCAACCTGAGCTGTTAGTGCCAATTAAAATTCAATTCGAATCGATTGAAATTTATATTTTTTACTTATTAAAATGTGTGCCAATTAAAATTTAATTCAAGTTGATTAAAAATTAATTTTTACGTATTAAAATTTGAGTCGATTAAAATTTATATTTTTTTATGTATTAAAATGAGTCTTGAAATAATAAAATAATTTTTTAAAAGATTTGAGTATATATTTAAGTTTGGTCATTTGAGTACTTTACGCCAAATCGAGTTTTTTACTCAAATTTAAGTCATGATTAGAGATGCACTTAAAAGTCTAATAGTATATAATTGAATAAGGATGTCATTTTTTGGAATTAGAGGCAATTTATGTGACCAGAAAACCCGGAACGTTAGACATAGAATCGACCTTAGTTTATTTTATTACGAGTAGACCCCAAAAGTTTATATCTCAACTCACAAAAAATTACTAACTGTGGTACCGTATCTGTAAGAATCAAACCCTAATCTGTGAGAATTCCAATCTATCAATTCAAAATCTTACTAATTTCGTTCAAATTTAATCACTACCAGTCAACTTTTTAAATATGCATAGCATTGGCTGTTTTTTAAAATGAAAGAGTAGGGGAATCAACCAGTGTTAAAGGTGCTCTAGGGTGTTGTCTTTCTTGTATTCATACTCTTAATTGATCATAACTTTATTTCTTTTTTTTTTTTATCTTTTAAATCTTAAAAGACATAAAAAAAAATAACTTTTGTTTTTTTCGATTAAAATCGTCTTAAAATTATATTTGTGTTTAGTCTAATCGTTGAAAATTATTGTTAATTTTTATTTTCTAGCCCAATATTTATGACATGGTATTATCAATAAATAAAATAAACTCCATTAACTTACATAGAAGAATAATGAGTAATTATTTGCTTATATGGATGAATAGTTGTTGCCTTGTGTTGAGTTTATTTTCTTATTTATTTGTATTTTATTAGTTAATATTTTTTCCATCCCATCCGTACATAATTCCGCGTGAGATGCGGGACCGGACTCTAGCATTCTTTCTTTGCAACCGCCGGACTGGCCCACCTAATTTAACGTGGATATGCGGAGTCACATGAAAAGAGTCTAAACTTAGTGGGCGGCATTGAGCGCAAATGAGGTATTAATTTGGGGTAAATTATACTTACACCTCTAAACAATCACCATTTTTTCACTTTATCCTCTCAACTATTAAATTTTTTACATTATACCCTAAACTATGTAAGAAATTTAATGAGGGGATAAATTGAAAAATGGTTTAAGGGGTGTAAGCATAATTTACCAATTAATTTGATGGAAGCTTATTTAATGGTTAATTTCAAAAGGATGAGTTGATTAAAAGATGTCAATTAATGCGTACATTTGAAATTATTGGTTAAATTTGATAAATGTAAAGTTATGTGTATAAAGTTGACTTATTCTATTGTTGATATTACTATGTTGTTGCTAAATGATTTTGTTAAGGTAGAATTGGGACACAATATTGAATATGATAAATGAGATGGGCCGTGTTTTTAAAGAAAAAATTATAAAAGGTACACAAAATTAGACTTAATTGTCAAAAGTACACAACTCTTAATGTAGCTCATTAAGTCCTTATTTTTATAATTTAATTGTTTCCAAGTATACAGTTTACTATTGACATATTTACCCTTATATATATATTTACATAAATTAAGACCTATAATAAATCTTCTCCATTTTTTAGGGATATGTTTCAAAATTTTTGGAAATTTTTGAAAATTGACAACTAAAATGAATGATTAGAAAATACTAAAATTAAAGAATTTTAATTTTACATTAAATTTAATTTGGTCACGTATATATGTGTGTTAATATATATATATATATATATATATATATATGGGATTTTTTTGGAAAATCTTTCCTAAGAAATTTATTTACAATAAAGGGTATTCAAGTATTTACATGTGTTAAGTAGATTTTTTAACAAAACATTTTTTTCTACGTACTTTTTGAAAATTAAGACTAATTTTATGTATCGGCTTCTAAAGGCCCCTTCTTTAAATTAATGTATTTTCTAGTCATTCAATAAATTATGTACACATGTTGATATTTTGTGTTCTATTTTTAAAGTAAACTCTATTGATTTTTTTGGGGTCTAGATTGCTTTAAAACAACGTAACTAAATGCTATTAAAAATATCTATATTATATGATTTGTGCTTGATTTTGTGTTGCACAGTATGTTCAGATTCGCATTTTGTCCATTTTCTAAAAAAAATGATTGTCACATTTTGATATAAATATATCAAAAGTGTTGCAATGTAACCCATTTATTAGTTTTTGTTATTTTTTTCGTCAAAAGTCAACTCATTGACACTAACAGGGAGCTAACAGAATGGTTACATAATAACACTTTTAATAAATTGAGGGTATAATAGAAAAAAATTAATCTTTGAAGATATAAAGTAAAAATTTAAAATCATTTAGGGTATAAAGTGCAATTTGCCTATATATATGTTTCAAAAAACAAATCAATTTTGTAGAGTACAAAAAGGATACATTATTTGAATGGGGTTGAAATGGGTGGTTCATGGTTTAATTTTGCTTGCATCACCATAATCAATTTCGTCCACCATCAGTCTCTTAATTGAGGGGAATATGTTACAAACTATTGGATCTAAGGGGATTTAGTGTAATTTTTAAAACAATAAATGGTGCAGTGCAAATGTTAGAAATCCCGAGGGGTGTCGTTGTAATCATCCCTCTGGCTCGATTTCACCCATACAATATGAAAGGTCCAATCCCAACGTAACCGGATTGTTATGTATGTTATTTTTGTGTCGTGTTATTTTTAATATATTTCATGATCGTATTAATAAAAAATTATTTAATTTATAATAAATTATATAATATTTTTTAAAAATTATAAAATAATTATTTTTTGTCCATAGTAGTACCAATTGAATACCTATTTTTCTGTCTACAATATTCGTTAATTGTATTATTCATGTCTAATTTTAATTTGATATATTTATTTTATGTGTTAATTAATTAGGTCATTTTCGAGTTTTTGTCAAGTGGGTTGTGTGTTAAATTCGAGTTAGTGAATAAAATTGAAACCTTTGCAAAACATGAATAGACAAAAATATTATTAAAGTATAGTGTCGAAAAATAATATTTTGAAATGGTAAACAGACCTCGTAGTACAAAGAGATAAGAGGTCCTGAACACCAACAAGGATATCTAAATAGAAAGCAAGTGAGAGGAATTGACTAAACAAAAGTGTAGCACCACATGAGTAACACTCCACCAACAATGACTTCCAATCCTAACCATTCCTTGCCTCTTTGACACCCACTACCCTCTGGACTACTTGTTCCACTGCTTTTGGCACTTGTGGGATTGTCTTTTTTAGCTGCTGGAAAAATATTCAGACAAATAAATAAACATATAAAAAAAGTATAATCAACATTATACATAAATCATTTATTGAAAATCCTATTAAACAAGGGTAGAATACATTGGTGACCCCCCGGCGTATTTTTTTTTGGATTTAATGGTTAGGATATTTACACTAACTTATGCACACTTTGACTAATCTCTTTATCAGTTCAGTCAAAACAGACCATCTAAGTCGGAAATAGAGTATTTATGAGGGATAAATCTCTCATGACTTGACCTTAAAAAGTAGTTGAGAATCGAATTCAAGACGTCTGAATTTACAATTCATATATATTACTACCTGATCTGTCTCTTGGAATTAATCCCCGATATATGCTCTTGGTTTAGTTCGGTCTTCGGTCCGTCCCCAACTTTTAATTTGGGCATTTTGGTCAATCACCAATGTATTTTACACTCTTAAGAAACTAAAAGCAAAAGTTTCACAATGGGGCCTTACCACTAGGAACAGGGCTACTGGCGGTGTCATTGGAGCCATGACCAAATTGATAGAAAACCTGAGCATCTGTTGAATTTGGAGGCAAGTTGAGGAGAGCTGCATGCATCCATTACAATCATCAAAATTACTAACCAACATGGTCCATAGAATTTCATCTCCGACTAGAATAAAAGAATAATTATTTTTCGGGGTGGCATGCCCCCGAAAAATCCTATGCACTGGTCCTGGGTAAGTCTTGCCAGTCAAATGGACAGGCCGCCCCGACTGTCAACCCATAGACCGGATCAGGATAGCCCGTTGGTTTTTAAGGATAAATCACATGTCGTTATAAAAATTAACGGTTACAACACAAAATCTCATATGCATGCAATCATCATTTTATACGGCTAGGGAGAGTTAAACTTAAGAAGTGCCCTTGGTCAATCATAGAACCAACCTAACTTATCAGGTTCTCCTATATTATAGAAGAGTTTACTTACCAGGGCACTGAGAAACATTGGCAGGAGCATTGCAAACTGAGGGTAGGCCTAAAGCAAGAGTGACATTGATACTGAGGCCTAGATCTGGATCATTTCTATCTTCAATCACCACGCACAGACACTTCTTTTTGGTCTTGAGGACTTGTTTTAGGCCAGTGCAACAGTCTGGTGTAGGAGCTTGTGCATTCCCACTAACATATGGCAGACAAGTTGCTAGTCCAACCAGTTGCTCTGAACACTCCTCTCTGTCCTTGGCTGCATCTGGGGCTGCAAAAGAGAACAGTATAGACAGTGACAGTGAGATAAGTGAGAGAACCAACAACTTCTTGTGTAAAGCCATTGAAGAAGTCTAAGCTACAGAGAGGAGATTTTGTGAAAATTTTTTTTAGAGAGAGAGAAAGCGAGAGAGAGAGAGAGAGAGAGAGAGAGAGAGAGAGAGAGAGGTTTAAGTTCAATTCATGTGGTGGGTATTTATAGATAAAGTGATTTTGAAAAGTTAAGAGGGTGGTGGTGGAGGGAATGTGGGATCATCTCCACTGAAATCTCCTTAATCATTAGGGTCACAGCTATTGTGGCAACTGGTAGCATGAAGTGCTTTGAAACTGTTTTCAAACATATCCAGTTCAGGAGAAAAGATGTAGACTCCTCAGTTTAGCTTGGCTAGAGGTGCAATTTGTGCAGATCATCCTATTTTAGCTTGGGAAATATTCATCATTTAGATAGAGATTTATATAGTATTCGAGTCGGGATATATATTAATTCTTGTTCAATATTAGTAAATTTAGGTAAACTCACAATGAATTCATTATTTGAGATTCAAAATCTATTTTTTATATATAATTGTCATGCATTTACTAATACAAGTTCAACTCGAGAATTGAAGTTGGGTGTAAACTTGAGTCGTGTACTCCAATCATTGAACTTAAATATAGAGTTGCGTGATATTAGTTCAAAAATCTAAATAGAAACGATACTCAAAACAAAAGATGAAATTCTTGATTATTAAGTGAAGTACAAAGTATGAATTCTCTAATCTAGAAATCCCAATTGACCTCTCAACCTATCTAAATCACTTGAGCTGCAACCATAGTTTTTGTATGCTATAATTGCATATTGCAAGGCAAATGAAAAGAACTAGTACAATAGGGTTCTCCGCAAAGGATTAGTGGTTGAAAAGTGTTAATAGTATAAATTTTCCTATAACTTTTGAGATGATTTAATGGTTGAGTTTAATCTCTAGTAATCCGGAGGATTTAAGTTCAATTATTTTCCACACTTCATAAAAATTAATTACTTTTATCTTTTTAGAGACATACTCTAATTCAACTTGAGCTATGATGATTAGCCATTAAATTCAAGAGAATAGTCCCCGAAAATCTAGATATTCCATAACAAAAAAAAAAAAAAAAAGTAAACTTTCCTTCCCTTTTTCTCTTCTTCCTTCTTGGAAAAAGTTTTCTATTATTTGATAGAGTAAACTTTTATAAATTTCAAGGTAGGTGATGATTTGATAAAAAAAAAAAAAAAAGTTGGTGATGAATTGCCAAGAAAAAAGGATAATGTGTGGACTTCACCAACCCCACTATGGGCAGTGGGACCCTGCCAGACAGATGTGAGGCCTCCTCTTTCAGCTATTGTTAATGTGTGCCACTAGCCAAAGATGCTATTAGATTTGAGGGATAAGGTTACATAAAAAAATATCGTGTTGAAATTGATGTAGAGTTATTACTTTTTATTTAGATGATTTATAGTTGTTAATAAAAAAATAATAAAGTAATGAAAATTAAAATTAAAATATAAAAATTTTATATGCCACGTTTTTTTATTATATAAAAAATAAATATATTGTTTAAAAATGTCTGAGTTGATTGAGAGGTAACCGATTCGATCAGTCAAAAAATAAGATAATAGAAGAAGATGTGTCTAGTTTGGTGTTGTTAACGTAACTTTCTCGATTTATAGTTCTTCTCCTTTCTCTCTCTTGACCAATGCTCCGACTTTCTGCACTCAAAAGATCAATTGTTACGACATCATTTGACTTTAACTTTGTTCGAGTTTGATTCATTCTTTTGATTCATATGTATCTTGTCATGTCTACTCCGTTTATTTGTATAACATAAATGTCTTTTTTGACAAAAGTCAATCAAGAAGTCAAAGCAGGAGTCGAGCAAACATATTGGGCGAGGAATCCCTTACTTGTTCAGCTAATAACAAAAAGAACAATGTTATTGGGACCTAATTTATTGACATAATTTGTTGACCTAATTCACTGTAATCTTTAGATTCACTGTAGATCCTATCAAACATTGAAACTTGGTATTGATCCAATGATTCTTATAAAATCACATCATTATATCAGTATATTAAATTAAATTTTTAAGTTCAAATAATATTATTCTATCCGGGCCATCATGACATCATTCAGCATTTGAATGACATCATCAGAGCCTTTTTTTGCAATTTAAATCCTGTGTATAGATCAGGGGGCCACACAATTTAATTTGGGTCCTAAGCGAAAATATTATGCGATGTCTTATAAATATTTATTTAGTCATATTAAATACTTATTAAAATATATTTATTTATAAATTATTTATTTTGTCTTTTGAGATATAACATACTAATTCAAATTTTACAAATAAAAATTGTGTGAATCTCAATCAAATATAATAATACATACTATTTGTTTAAGATAAAAGAGAAACATAATTGAAAATTAGGTTGACTAGTAAAATAATTTTTTTATAAATGTATATCAAAATAAGAATTTATACGAGTTGAGTAGTCTTAAAATAAATGAGATATTGTTAAATATTACAGAGAAAAAAAATAATTTTTAAATAAAAAATTTTAGTAAGACAACTATGGTTAATTAATTTAAGATAACTAGTGTATTACTTCTGCTCACTCTATTTTATAGTCATCTTGTGCATCATAAACAACGTTATTCAAAAATGACGTCAAATTTAACTTATACAAATATAAAATTATTATTCGTACTTATTACACGATAGACAATTAATTTTAATAATAAGATTGCAAAGTGATAATACATATAATATAAATATCGGATGAAATAAAAAAATAAGCTGAACTTCCCTAAATTTTTTTAAAAGAGGTTTTAAATTTTTACAATAATGCTAGTTGCACTTAATTTAAGAACTAAATACATTAAATAAATAGTGAGTTTTGTTTAAACTTAATACTTACTATTAATTCAATAATTAATATATATTAAGTATTTAAATTATATTCTAAAATAATCATTATTTATTTTATTTTGGAGTTCCAAATTAGGGCCTAGACTATGGCCTAAGTGACCTAAAGGTTGGGCCGACACTGGTATAGATATGCTGGACAAGCAATCGGGAAGAGGCTGATGAGCTTTTTATTTAAGTAATGTTAAGATAAAAGTAAAATCAATAATATCTAAAGAATTGTTTGGCAATGCTATTTATAAATATTTTTAAAGCAAAAAAAATCATAGAAAAAATAAAAAAACATGTTTAATTAATATTTTATGAAAAAAGAAAATTCAAAAAACAAACCTACTTAAAAAAAATTTAAAAACATTACCAAAACGGTACCTATAAAAATTGCTAATTGGTAAAAATTATTGAGCCTTTGTAAATTGGGTTAAATGACCCTTTCTTTCCCTTAAATTGGATTAAGGTGAACCACTCCTATGGTTTTAAATGGTTACCATTCTAAACAAAGAATTAGAGTTGCATTTGGAAGAAATGGGCTCTGAGTCGCGACTTTAGTGGATCAAATTGGAACCAAAAGTCCATTTAGTAGTCTTGCTATGAAAGGTAGTCTACTTTTCGAATCCCTCTGTCACAATTTCTTTCCTTTTTTTTTTAATGTAATATGAGGGGAAATGGTTGAAATTTGTTTATGCCCTGTTTGGTAGATTTGAAAATAGGGTTGAAGAAAAATGAAGGAAAATAGGATGGAAAAAAAAGGTTTCTACCATTGGGTTGAGAGAAAAAATATGATGGAAAGGAAAGCCGGAAGGATTCTCTTTCCTCCCAACCTATCAAAATCTCATTGTTCAAATTTGGACGAAAAATAAAAGGAAAAAGAGAAGTTAGGCTATTCATTGTGATTTTATTTTTTTGTCTTTTGTGTATTTATCGAGTAATGGTAGATAGATTTAAAATATAGACTTGATGATATGACTGCTAATATATACCAGCCATGTCATCGGTTTTTTTTTAAAAAAAATCTATTTTTAAAGAAAGATCAGATGATTTGACCAATCATCTCCCCTCATCTTCTCCCGTCCCTTTCACGGTTTCACCAAACCAAAACCCGTCAGCCAGCCATAGGATTTCTTTATCTGCTCCTCCCTACCCCCTTCCCTACGCCAAAACTTGTCCACTCAGAAACCAGCCTAATTAAGTTTTCAGAGGGAACTATGATAGGAAAGTCACAAAGAACATCAAAGACCTCACCTAAGAGCCTTATTGCTGCAGGTAGGGTTCCACCCTATGGTATTTCAAAAAACCCTTGAAGACCTCACCCAAGAACCACAACAATCAGTTCGGCTTCGGATGTGGTGAAACAATCGACTGTTCAATTTCTTTTTAAACAAAAAGGTCTTCAGCATAGGGGTGAAAGAGAAAATTGTGTTTGGTTTAGTGAAAGGGAAGGGAGAAGAAGAGGGAAGAGGGAAGGTGATCAGTCAAGTTATCTGATCTTTCTTTAAAAACATAATTTTTTTTTTTTTGAAACTGATGACATGACTGGTACACATAAGCAGCCACATCATCAAATCTATATTTTAAGTCTAAATTGTAAGTCTGTGTAGCATTACTCGTATTTATCATTTATCAAACACATGTATGGAAATTAAGTATGCTACCGTCTAGCCGAATTCCAATGACCCCTTTTTCTCTCTCTCTGAATTAACAAACTCATAAAATAAATTATGACCGAAAAAAATAACGAAGTATGTTATTTCGATATAGAAAATTTATATACTATCTCCTAACAAGTGTGTTATTTTAAAAAAATTATTTTATATATAGAAACTTTATTTTTCATATATAAGGGTATAATGGTAAATTAAGTTTATACATATTTTTTTGGGAGAATTACACTCAGACCTTCTTAGGTTTGTCACTTAATCACTCAGACTCTTTAACATTTGAAATATTACACACAAACCCCTTGAGGTTTGTAAGCATGTAACACTAAGACTCCTGTTTGTAAATATATCCGTTAATAAATTACACTTAGACTCCCCTAAAGTTTATGGGTATATAATATTTAGATCCTTTAAGTTTAAATTATTATATTTAGACAAAAAAATACTCCAATTAAATATAAAATATCACATATATTAAATTTTACAACCAAAATTTATGTTCTATTGTATCATTTATTGAAATAAAATTAAAATTAAAATTTTGATTTTTTCTTAAAAAAATCATAACTAGTATATAATTATACTATCTATTGGAATAAAACTAAAAAAAATTAAACAATGGGTCTAAGTCATTCATAATAGAATATGAATTTTACATTCAAAATTCATGTTCTATTATGTTATTTATTGAAATAAAATTAAAATTTTTTTTAAAAAAAAAAAAACATATTTAGTATATATTTATACTGTCTATTAGAACAAAACTAAAAAATTAAACAAGGAATCAAATTGTAATAGAC